AGCCAGGTGCTTTTCCTGGTCTCCCATGGGGTGCAGGGCCCAAGCACCTGGGCCATCCTCCACTGCACTCCCGGGCCACAGCAGAGGGCTGGCCTGGAAGAGGGGCAACCGGGACAGAATCCGGAGCCCCGACCGGGACTAGAACCCGGTGTGCCGGCGCCGCTAGGCGGAGGATTAGCCTAGTGAGCCGCAGCGCCGGCCCAACATGATTTTTGAAGGAGGTTATAAACTGATTTATTTTCCAGGATAATACTTGATGGGAACATATCAGGGAGATTCTAACACCCTCATCTCACAACGAAATTCATGAAATTACATAAAGCTATGAAATAGCAATACATTTAGTGCACTTTCAGGAAGCACTTTTTTTTTTTTTTTTTGACAGGCAGAGTGGACAGTGAGAGAGAAAGAGACAGAGAGAAAGGTCTTCCTTTGCCATTGGTTCACTCTCCAATGGCCGCCACGGCCGGCGCACTGCGCTGATCCGATGGCAGGAGCCAGGTACTTATCCTGGTCTCCCATGGGGTGTAGGGCCCAAGCACTTGGGCCATCCTCCACTGCACTCCCTGGCCACAGCAGAGAGCTGGCCTGGAAGAGGGGCAACCGGGACAGAATCTGGCGCCCCGACCGGGACTAGAACCTGGTGTGCCGGTGCCACAAGGCGGAGGATTAGCCTAGTGAGCCACGGTGCCGGCCATGGAAGCACTTAATGATAAAATTTATCAGAGGCCATTGTTTGGGATGGAGTGCCTCCATGAGGCCCCAAAAGACCAAACCAAAATGGAATTACTCATGCCAAAGACCCATGTCACCAAACCAGAACTTAGTTGATTATCTCACCTTCCAAGAAATCAGGAGAAAGGGGCAGCAATCAAAACTCCCAATAGGCAAGTTTAGCCAGCATGATAAGGAAGACCTCTCTGTTTTAAGCTTAAAAGAAAAATAACTGTGGAACGATGAATCTGCTGTTTGTTCCCTGTTTCTGCTTTCCTTAGCCCTTTTCTGCCTAGACAGCCAAGTTTCTCTGCTCACCTCAGAAAAGACTCTTTTCTAATATTTGGATGAGACATCCTTCCATTCATGAATTATTAATACAAGGCGATTAGATCTTTAAACTAAATTTATTACGATTTTGTCTTTGGCCACACTCAGCCGTTTTGTAAAGCACTGTATAGACAAGAGATAGGAAATGAGTTTCATTTCAAATTTTTAAAAAGATTTATTTATTTATTTGAAAGGCAAAGTTATAGAGAGATAATCTTCCATTTGGTGGATCACTCCCCAAATGGCCTCAATGGCTGGAGTTGGGCTGGTCCAAAGCCAGGAGCAAGGAGCTTCCTCCAGGTCTCCCACGTGGCTGGCAGGGGCCCAGGCACTTGGGCCACTCTCCGTTGCTTTCCTAGGCCATAGCAGAGAGCTGGATCAGTAATGGAGCAGCAGGAACTTGAACAAGTGCCCATATGGGAGGCTAGCATCACAGTGGGTAGCTTTACCCACTATGCTACAATGCTAGCCCCAATCTCAATTTTTAAAAATAAACTTAACTTTTTAAAGAAGGTTTAAGACTGCAGCAAAGCTGAGCAAAAAGTACAGAGACTTCCCCTTGAAGAATGGCCTCAGCCTACACAACCAGCTCTTCTATGGAGCATCCCTGGTTTTGCAACATATTAGGGACTTTCTCCAGTGTTTTTATTTATTTGTTTGTTTTTAAAGGAGGAGTACTTCAGGTTTATGTTTGGGCCTGGGAGACCTGATGGCTCTTTTAAAAAAAATTATTCATTTATTTTTTATTTACTTGAGATGCAGACAGAAAGAAATCTCCCAACTGTTGGCTCACTCTTCAAATGCCCACAATAGCCAGGGCTGCACCACCCCAGGCTGAAGTCAGGCTCAAGAGCTTCATGTAAGTCTCCCACGTGGGTACAGGGACCCAACCACGTGGACCATCCTCCATGGCTTTCCCCAGGCCATTAGCAGGGAGGTAGATGGGAAGTGGAGCAGCCTGGACATGAACTGGCATCCAAATAGGATACTGGCATCACAGGCAGTGGTATTACCCACTAAGCTACAACACCATCCTCTCCATGTTTTTTAAATAGCCTGTTTTGCTCTAAAAAGGAACTGATATGAATTATAGAAAAGTAGTGAATTATAAGTAAAGTAGGGGCAGGCATTGTGGTGTAGCAGGTTAAGCTGTCCCTTGGGATGCCCGTGTTCCATGCTGGATACTGGGCTCAATTCCCAGCACCTTTGCTCCAAGCCACCTTCCTCCTAATGTATCTTGAGAGGCAGTAAATAATGACTCAAGTGCTTGGACCCCTACCACCTATGGGGGAGACCCAGATGGAGTTCCTGGCCCCTGGCTTCGACCTTACCCAGCCCTGGCTGTTGTGAGCATTTGGGGAGTGAACCAGTGGGTGGACGATCGCTCTCCATCTCTGTTTCTCTCTCTTCTTCTGTCACTCTGCCTTTAAAGTAGATGAAAATAAATAAACACTTTTTTAAAAAAGTGAAGTAAAAGAGGCTAGGCATTCAGCCTGGTGGTTAAGATGCTCAGCATCCCACATTGGGGTACCTGGGATCAGTATTTGGCTCTGGCCTGAGGAGGCAGCAAGTGATGATTCAAGTATTTGGGTTCCTGCCACCATCTGGGACATCTGCACTGAGTTGTCCGCTCCCAGCTTCCAGCTGCTCAGTTTCAGCCAGTGCAGTCATTTGAGAAGTGAACCAGCAGATGGGAGCACTCTGTCCCTCTCTGCCCCTCCGATAAATAATTTTTTTAAAAAGTAAAACAGGGGTCGGCACTGTGGCGTGGCAGGTAAAGTCATTGCCTGCAGTGCTGGCATTCCATATGGGCGCCGGTTCATGTCCTGGCAGCTCCACTTCTGATCCAGCTCTCTGCTATTGCCTGAGAAAGCAATGGAAGATGGCCCGAGTCCTTGGGCCCCTGCACCCGTGTGGGAGACCCGGAAGAAGCTTCTGGCTACTGGCTTTGGATCGGCCTAGCTCCAGCGGTTGCGGCCACCTAGGGAGTGAACCAGCAGATGGAAGATCTCTGCCCTCCCCTCCCCACTCTCTGTAACTCTTGCCTTTCAAATAAATAAATAAATAAATCTTTTTAAAAAAAGGTAAAACATCAGGAAAGGAGGAAATAGAAACCAAGGGGAAAGAATATACATAAGTAAACATCCCTAACATCTTAACAGATTTGACAGAAAAATATCCAAATATGTAAATCCATGTGAACTTAATTGTTCACATAAGCATACAATAATATCTACCACTTCTTTTTTTTTAAAATGTTTATGAGACTTATAATTCTTTTAATTATCTATTGCTAATGTTTTTTTAAGATTTATTTATTTATTTGAAAGTCACAATTACACAGAGAGAAGGAGAGGCAGAGAGAGAGAGAGAGAGAGAAGTCTTCTGTCCGCTGGTTCACTCCCCAGTTGACCGCAATGACTGGAGCTGTGCCGATCCGAAGTCAGGAGCCAGGAACTTCCTCCGGGTGTCCCACATGGGTGCAGGGGCCCAAGGACCTGGGCCATCTTCCACTGCTTTCCCAGGCCACAGTAGAGAGCTGGATTGAAAGTGGAGCAGCCGGGACTCGAACCGGTACCCATATGGGATGCCGCTGCCTGCAGTGCCGGCTTTATCCGCTACACCACAGCACCAGCCCCTATCTACCACTTCTACAAGTAGCATTTTATTTAATTCTCAGAAGAACTTCCATTTTACAAATGAGGGGTCTAATGTTTAGAAATAGCATAACCTGAGGCCAGTGTGTGGTACAGAGGGTTAAGCCACTACTTGCAAAGCTGACATTCCATATTAGAGTACCAGTGCCAATCCTGGCTGCTCTTTTCCAATCCCACTTCCTGCTAATGAACCTGGGAAGGGAACAGAAAATGGCCCAAGGACTTGGACCCTTGCTACCCATGCAGGATATCAGGATGTAGTTCCTGGCTCTGGCCTGACCCACACTTGGTTGTTATGGCCATTTGGGAAGTAACTTCTCTCTCTCTTTCTCTCTCTCTCTCTCTCTTCCCCCTCCACCCCGTGTGTGCGTGTGCGTGTGTGTGTGTGCATATGTGTGTGTGTGTTTCTCCTCCTCTCATTCTGCAATTCAAGTTAATAAATAACTCTTAACAAAAAAGACAAATAAGAACCCAAGAAGCAGATGTGAGACTTGAATTTATGTCTGGAGAGATGAAGAAGAAATGTCTTCATGTTCTCCAGACTATATCCCATAAACAGTGTTTCTCTAATCTTTTAATAAGCATCGCCTGGCAAGGAGTTCAAGGTGACACTCTCTTAAACAGATACTACAGTCTAGGTAATATATGTTCTCAGTAATAGGGTGGAAGCCATTCACCGAGTATCAGTGGAACTGAGGGCTGGACTGATAGTCTCCAAACGCTTACCAAGTGAAAGTTGACAGGCAGAGTGACTATTAAATTATTATTCATGTTGTCTCATGAATAAAGATGAGATTTCCCCCAAGCGTGTTTCAAGCAAGCTACTCTACTAACCACACTTCACACTCAGGCCAGCCTTATCTTTCCAAAAGGCAGATCAGGCACTGCAGCTACCTTCCTCAGACAAGCTAAAGCAGCTCCCCATGCCTGCTGGATAAACTTCAGAGTCATCAGCATGAATTCTGGGACCTGAGTATGGGCCTGACCCTGCCTTTTGCAGCCTCGCCTCTTGGCTCTCTCTACACACCTGATGCTCCAACCACATCATCATTCAGAGTTTTGTAAATATGCCATACCTCTTGCTTTTGCTAATGTTGGCACAGGAAAAGGAGCAAGCAGGTGACCAGAGCTTGTGGCAGTGCCTTATTGTGTCTGACAATGTCACTGCTTCTACAGTGGAATCACTTAACTGACTTCTCATGACTTCTACCTCCTACAAACGCAGGTTCAGCTTCCATGCACAGGATTCAAGTGAAAATATTCCTTTGAACACATGCATGAGGCTGCAGAATCGCTTACCCTGCAATATGGCTCCTTCTTCTTTATATCTTCCTGCTGGATCAGCCTCAGGCCCTGGACACCATTCTGCAGGCCTCTCTCATACAGGGCCTGAAGTCTGGGAATTTCTTCTTGTTCAACGGCTACTATAAGCTTAAAAAGAAAAATGGTAGAGAACATGGGTAGAGTTGAATGTATCATCAGCTGCAACAGACACAGCCAACAGAAGATAATAAAATGTTGTATGAGGTTTTCAAAAGTTCATGGAAAATGTGCATTATGAAAAATTATGCACAGATTTCAAAAAATTGTGTATTAAGGAATTTATCTTTTAATTCTAATTTCCATGAACTTTCAAAATAATGATGATTGACTGATTGATTGAGAGGCACAGTGACAGAGACAGAACTCTTCCACCTGTTGTTTCACTTCCCAAATGGTAGCAAAGGCTGGGCCTCGGCTAGGCCTAAGCTGGGGGTGTGGAACTCCACCTGGGTCTCCCACATGGGTGGCAGGGGCTCAAACAATCGGACCATCATCTGCTACCTTCGCAGGTGCATTAGCAGGGGGCTGGAAAGGAAGTGGAGCAGCCAGGAGTGGAACTGGTGCTCCAATATGGGAAACCAGTGTTGTGTTGCAGGTGGCTGCTTAACCCACTGTGCCACATGCCAGCCACTTCCCATGAACTTTTTAAAGTACCCTCATCTGATTCAAACACTGTTGATTAAAATTGTTTTTCTTTAGTGTCTACTTTTCCCTTTCTGCATGACTTTATTTTCATCCTCCATCAAGAAAAGTTGTAACAAAACTGCATTATAACAAAGTTTCCCCAAAAGTGATGAGGCCTCTATTTCTACTTCTGTCATAGCAGGCCATAAGCAACCCTATTCCTTTCACTCTCTCAGTACCAAAGAGGAGCACAAGTTGCTTAGTCATTATATGTATTTATTTTTTCCAAAACAGCATGGCCTTATTCCTGTAAGAAAGTGTGAAGTCCCAGTGGGCAGAAAGACAGCTGGTACTCAGTGCGATGGGCTTTCAGAGGGAGAAGCCATTCATTCTTCAAGAATGAATTACACATGCGGCCAGGCCTGCACATCCCGAGTCCCACATCTGCAGCTTCGATCAACTGTGGACTCAACAGATGAGCAAGAGCTGCAGCCCTAAGGAACGAGTACAGACTTCTCCCCAGTCACTATCCTGAGCCAGTACTTCCATAGCGCGTACACTGTCTGGGGCATGGTAAGTAGTCCAGTGATGAAGCACACAGGAGGGTATGAGTTATAAGAAAACACCTTTCCACTTTTTAGGATGGAGCTGAGCATCAGCAGACCATGGCAGCTGTCGGTGTCCTGGAATCAGCCTCCCATGGATACCAGGGTTAAGTGCATTTAGGAATGCATTCTGTTGCAGAGAGAAAAACAGCAAATCCAAGCATCTGCTTGAAGTAGTTTTTCTGTCACTCAGCAGCTGCCAGCAGGGGACAGCAGAGTCGCAGTCACAGGCACATCAGAATGTACAAGTGACCACATGGCACTAAGGAGTCAACACTTAAGAGGTAATAGTTTTTGTTTTAAAACTTTATTTATGGGGCTGCTGCCTGCAGTGCTACCATCCCGTAAGAGCACTGGTGGCTCCTCCACTTTCAATCCAGCTCTCTGCTGTGGCTTGGGAAAGCAGTGGAAGATGGCCCAGGTCCCTGGGCCCCTGCGCCCATGTGGGAGACCTGGAAGAAGTTCCCAGCTCCTGGCTTCGGATCGACCCAGCTCTGGCCATTGTGGTCATTTGGGGAGTGAACCAGCAGATGGAAGACCTCTCTCTCTGCCTCTCTGTAACTCTGCCTTTCAAATAAATAAATAAATCTTTAAAAAATTTTTTTTATTTATTTGAAAAGGAGAGAAAGCATCTTCCATCTGCTGATTCACATTCCAAAAGCCCTCAGCAGCAAGGGCTGGGCCAAGCCAAAGCTGGGAGGCCAACTCCACTCGGGTCTCCCACAGGAGTAGCAGGACCTGAGGGCTCAGGCGCCACCTGCTGCTTCCCAGGATGCACATTAGCAGGAAGCACAGCCAGGACTGAAACCTCGGCGCTCCAGCACAGGGTTGTGGGCGTCTCAGCACTGTCCCAATCACCCTACTGAATGACTGCACTAGGTGTTACTTTTAATTACGGCAGAAAGGATACTTACGTTAAAAAATTTAACCTTAAAAAAGAAAGTAGAAATGAAGGACATGCTCCCAAAAAGTGAAAGGAAGAAAGAAAATCTCACAGAATGGGAGAAAATATTTACAAATCATGTTGATAAAATACCTATCTAGGGGCTAGCGCTGTGACGTAGCGCGTAAAAGCCACCGCCTGTGGTGCCGGCATCCCACATGGGCGCAGTTCGAGACCCGGCTGCTCCACTTCTGATCCAGCCTCTGCTATGGCCTGGGAAAGTAGTAGAAGATGGCCCAAGTGCTTGGCCCCTGCACACGTGTGGGAGACGCGGAGGACGCTCCTGGCTTTGGATCGGCGCAGCAGAGCGGCCAGCAGAGCAAGACCTCTCTGTTCTCTCTTCGCCTCTCCTTCTCTGTGTAACTCTGACTTTCAAATAAATAAATAAATAAATAAATCTTTAAAAAAAATCTACCTAAAAATGTATTCTATATGTATGTAGTACACAGAATATATTTTTTAAAAATCTTTTTAAAATTTATTTATTTATTTATATGAAAAGAAGAGTATCAGAGGGACAAGGCGGGGTGGGGGAGAGAGAGAAAGACTTCTGTTGGTTCACTATTGTAAAAGTAAACCTGAGAAAACAATTTTCCTCACAATATTCAGAAAGAATACTGAGGAATAAGTTTGATGAAAGAAGTATAAGCCTTGCAGAACCAAAAATGACAAAATACTGCTGAAAAAAAGAAGATAAAAATAAGCAGAATTTTCATATTCCTAGTTTGCAAGATTTAAAACTGTTAGGATGGCAATATTCTCCAAATTGATCTACAGATTCAACACAACTCCTGTTAAAATTCCAGCAGCATTTTTGGAGAAAGTGATGTTACTTCCAAAATTGGAAAAGCTAGCGTCCCAGAAAAGAAAAAAAAAAAAAATTGGAGGATTCACTTCCTATACTGGCCTAAGAATAGACCGAATGGACATATGCATCAATTGAGAATCCATTAACATTTATGCTCCAATGATTTTTGAATAGGGTATCAAAAAAATGTAGAAATAGTCTTTCCAACGAGCAATGGAACAACTAGATATCCACACACAAAAGAATGAAATTGGTCACCTTCCTCGTGCCATATATAAAATGAATACAAAAGTAATCATAGTCAAATGTAACAGCTAAAGCTAGAAAATGCCCAGGGTGGAGGGAGGGAAAGAAACTACGAGGAACTCCTTGCAACCTAGTCTTGGGCAATGATTTCTTACATATAATATTAAAGTACAACAAAGCAAAAAGATAAGCTAGACTACATAAAAAACATCAGTGCTTTCAAGAAAGCAAGAAAGAAAAACTACAGAGTGGGATAAAATCACAGAGCTGATCGTGGTAGTTCCTCCAACCGAGGTTTTGCTTTCTACGGTTTCATACAGAGTCAACCAAAAGTCAAAAGCATTAAATGGAAAATCCTAGAAATAAATAACTGATAAGTTTTTTAAATTAATATTTATTTATTTGAAAGAGAGAGAGATTGTGAAAGGCGGGAGAGGGAGAGAGAACACACTCTCACCCACTGGTTCACTCCCCAAATGCCTGCAATGGCCCAGACTGAGCTGGGACAAAGTCAGGAGCCAGGAACTTAGTAAAGGGCTCCCTCATGGGTGGCAAGAATCCGATTACTTGAGTCATCACTGTTACCTCCTATGGCCTGCATAGGATGAAACTGGAATTAGGAGCTAGAGCCAGGAATCAAACACAAGTGCTCAGCTGTGGGACATAGGTATCCAAATGGATGCTATAACTGTTTACCCCAACAATTTATATATTTTAAATTTCAAGCTGTTCTGAGCAGTGGGATGAAATTTCACATCATCCCACCACGTGCTGCCTCAGATATGAGTCACTTCTTTGTCCTGCATATCCATACTGTATGTGTCACCTGCCTCTTTGTACTCAGTGTTGACATCAGTTATGAGACTGGCATCAAAGTGATTGTGTTCAAGTTAACCTTATTTTACCTAATAACAGCCCAAAAACACAACAGCAGTAATGCTGGCTATTCTGATATGTCAAAGACAAGTGATAAAGTGCTGTCTTTAAGTATCGTCTCACACTATCATAAGAGGGGTGAGGATAAGAAGGTATTTTGAGAGACAGAGAGAAAGAGATAACATTAGCATAAGTTTTATTATAATACATGGTTATAAATGTTATTATTAATTATTGTTATTAATCCTATTGAGGCTAATTATAAATCAAACTATTGTAGATATGTATATCCATAGTTTACACCATCTTCTGCAGGTATTGGAATAAATCCTCTATTAATGGGGGGGACTGCAGGATAATGTATCTGGAATATATAAAGAATACACACAACTCAGGAAAATATGATCAATGAGCAAAAGATTTAAAATGGGCAAAAGAATTGAATGGACATTTCTTTAAAGAAGTCACATGAATGGTCAATAAGGAAATGACAAGATGTTCAACACAGATCCTGAAAATCCACTTCTGTATATAAATCCAAAGGAAACAAATTATGTCAGAAAGACATACACATTTCCATGATCACTGCACTATTACACACAATAGTCAAGATAGGGAATCAACCTAAGTGTTCATGAATAGATAAAAAAAAAAATGTAGTCCATGTACACAATGCAATACTATTCAGTCTTTAAAAAAGAAGAAAATACTACATTTTGTGACAACATGGACGGATCTGGAGGGCATTATGTTAAGTGAAGCAAGCCACGCACATAAATACTGCATGATCTCATTCACATGTGGAATCTGAAAAAGTTGAACCCATAGAAGTAGAGCGTGGAATGGTGCTTACCAGGGTGCAGGTGGTAAGGAGATGTTGGCTAAAGGCTATACAATCTCAGTCAGATAGGAGGATTAAGTTCTGGAGATCTACCATAAAACACTGCAACTACCGTTAGGAGCAATGTATTCTTGAAGATTGGTAAAAGAGTACATTTTGAGTATTCTCACCACAAATAAATGGTAAGTCTGTGATAACCAATATATAGGCTATATATTGGTTAAATATTATATTTAGCCATTACACACATATACATATTTCATGCTAATCACATTATTAATCATTATATTAAATAATATTCATATATTATCTACAACAGGTGTAATATGCTGAACATGATAAGTATATACAATTTTGTCAATTAAAAATAAACTAATTTTTGAAAATAAAGATACTCAACACCATTGAAACTGCACTAAGTTATAGCCCCTATATTCAATAGGATGGATAAAATAAAAAGGACATTAACAGATTGGTAAGGATATAGAGAAACTGGGGCCCCCATAACTGCTAGTGGAAATGTAAAATAGTAAAAAAGCACTTTGGAAAGCTATTTGGCAGTTCCCCAGAATGTTAACTATCCCAACAATCCAACTCACAGGAAGAAACACATACAAGAGGTATGAAAACATATGCTCACGCAAACATCTGTACACAAATGTCCACTGAAGCATCATTCATAAAAACCAAAAAGTGAAAACCACCTAAATTCTTTCAAATGATGAATAAACAAAATGTGGGATATTCATATAATGAAATATCATTCAGCCATAAAAAGGAATGGAGTACAGATTCATGCTAAAATGTGGATGAACTTTGAAAACATTATGCTAAGTCAAACAAACAGTTCACAAAAGACCACATGGTATATGATTCGACCTGAACAGGCAAATCCACAGAAACGTAAAGTATAGTAATGGCTGCCAGGGACCAAGGGAGATTGGAATAGAGAGTAACTGTGGGGAGCAACTCGGACTAGACTAAGTTACTGGAATTAAGACTTATTCTATGCATCTGCTCTCCCACAATATGGTGCTAGGAGAGGAGGAAACAGCTTCTACGCAGCTGTCTCTCGACAACTTGAGTGATGACCTGCAGGAGCTGATCCTGCTCCTGATTGGAGGAGAGCAGCGTACTCGGCGTGTGGGTAGCAGAGTTGGGATTGGCGGAAGAGGACTATAAAGGAGGAGAGAGACAACATGCACCAGGAACATCTATCTGAAGGAACACCTGTGCAGCCCCCGAGAGAGCCGGCCAGCGGTGTGCCGCTCCCCCGCGGAAGTGGGGAAAGTGGCAGGGGGAACCGCCCTTCCACGGAGGTGGAAGGGATAGTAGCCAACCCGGGAAGAACCAGCAGCAAACCCGGGGAGGGCCGAGCAGACGAAAGAACAGCGCAGGGTCCTGTGTCGTTCCTCCGCGAAGAGGGGGAGTGACAAGTAACCATCAATAGTACGGCTTCTTTTTGGTGTGAAAATATTCTAAAATTAGTGGCAATGGCAGCACAATTCTGTGAACCTACTAAAAACATTTAAATGGCTGAACTACATAGATATGATAGATATGCCAATAAAGCTATTTTTTAAAGTACATGCAGGGGAAGGCATTTGGCCCAGCAGTTAAAGACACTAGTTAAGATGTGCACACCCCATAACAGAATGCCTCGGTTTAATGCTTACTCCAGCTTCCTGCTAATGTAGACCCTGGGAAGCAGTGGTGTCAGCTCAAGCTGCTGCCCACATGGGAGACCTGGATTGAGTTCCCATCACCCAGTTTTGGGCTCTGGCCTGAGGCCATTGTAGGCATTTGAACAGTGAACAAGTGGATGCGAATATGCTCACTTTCTGTCTCTCTCTGCCTCTCAAATATATTTTAAAAATAAAATAAAAAAATAAAAAGTAGAGTAAGTCACATCATATTTTTCAAAGTTATTTCCTAAAATTAGATTTCACAAAGCACACAGATACAAAGGAAGGAAAAGCCAGGTATTTTTAAAAATTCAACATTAAGCATCAGTGTGAAAGTGTTAGTTACGAGTAAGTCGAGGCCCAGGTAAAACACCATACCTTGCCACATTGCTTGTAGGAAATTCCCTTTTGGTTACAGTACTCATACATGAGGGCTGCACCCTGTACACATAATTTAGCTTTCAGAGATTCAGGTTTATAATAAATTCCACTATGAATGACCCCACTGTTATGTCCAGTCTGGTGAACAGCTACAGAACAAGAGAAACAGGGTAAGAGAAAGCACATGACTCAGAAAAAGCCTACAAGGTGAGAGAACAAACTTACACTTGAAGCTTTAGGAGACTTTATCTTTCAAAATTCTGCCTGAATTTGCTCAGATCACTAGTAACTTTCTCCAGGAGCCATCCCTAGTTCCCACGCCACACCTCTTCAGCCCATCTCTCATTTCAGCTGTAAGTTTGGTGCACACGCTTACCTCTCACTACCAGCAAACCATCTGTGGAACCTCCACGGCTCTCTGCATTCTGTCCTAGGGCTATTTCTAACTTTTTGGGAGGCAGTGGGGCTCAACATATTATGGACAATCCTCAACCAAAGAAAGACACACTCCTGCCCCTCAGAGACCCTGGTGACATCAAGTTCTCCAACACTGCCTTTGTATGGCTGTTCCTCTTTCCCAATCTTAACTCTCCCCACCCCCTCAACTCCTGCCTTCTCATATAATCTCTCAAATAAATCGACTACACCCAAGTCCTTGTCCCAGCCTCTGCCTCTAGGAGAACCCAAACCAAGATACTAACATCGACACTCAGCTCCAGAGTCAGAAGCGACAAAATGACCAGGTGACCAAGTCAGCCCAAAGGCAACGCTGACAGCATACATACCCAAGTCTTTCTCCTTTTCCACAACACCAATCGAAAGTGCCGGATGTCGCAGGATGAGTGCTCTGGCAGAGGCAAGCCCCACAATTCCACCTCCGACAATGACTACATCAAATGAGCTTTAAGAGAAAGTCACTATTAAATACACACGTTCACAGTAGGGCTCACCAAAGGTCACAGGCATAATTCTCAACATCGATGACCATTATACTATTAATTTATAATCAGATATGTACTGGGCTTTGAGCTATTTGGCTTCACTTCATGAACACACCTTTTAAAGCTGCTTTCTGCTGGTCAGCAGATTAATCATGAACAAACCTTTAAAGTTACATGCACTGCTGGTCAGTAGGTAAGTCAGCTGCAGCCCGCTGGCGGGGAGGATGGCTGCTTGCCCAGGCTGCCTGGGTCTCTATCGTGCCCAGTCCCTGGCTGGTTATATCAGTGATCATGCTGGGTTAAGCGGCAGACTTCTCTTTACCTTCAGTCCTTCCAAACTGAACTGTAGGATTCTGGAGGACAGGCTAACACACTATGCCTTTAACACCTCAGTGTGCAAGAATCTATACTTTCTTTTTTCTGATAAGAAGTAAACTACAGTAAGAACATCAAGCCTAAAGGAAATAACCAGTCCAGAATGGGCTCAGAACCACAATGTTAACCACAACAAACCTGGATTACACAGTCACCTGAAAGATTAGAAAGGGCATGAATAATTTCTCTAACTCTGCAACTAGAAGCTTAAAAGATTACATGGTCAACAAATCCAGGTCTTATGAGATCAGAAAAGAGGGAAACTTCAGAGAGTAGGCCCTCCCTTTGAAAAGTGACCTAAGTTTCCATTTCAAAATCCTTCATGGAAGTACATCAACTTGGTAACAAATGCTGTCACATCTGCAGCTACATGAGAAACCAGAAAGAGCCCCTGGACAACTTAGGGTCTAATGTGTGAGTCTGATAAATTTAATCCTATATATTAAGCTAATTTTAGGGTCATAAGGGCATAAAATTTTCTCCTTTAGTCTAAGTGCCTCATAATTTGGACAAGGATAGCCTCTAGGTGGCGCTCAACAGGTAGTTCTCTGCAGTATTACTGCATGGTGGGATCAACCTGTTACCAAGGGGTGTGTGTGATGGTGAACAAGGTCCACAGTTAAGAGAAGATAAAAAACAACAGCATAAGTGAAATAGGATTCTGGGTCCACTACATTAATAGTGGTTATTGGCAAATGCTCACACTGGTCAACTAAAACATTACTAATATCAGCAAAGTCCAAGCCTTTAAATATGTTTTTAAAAATATAATTTCACAAAAGGGTAAAACACTCATATTCTAATATAGTTACTTACATGATTTACTAACCTTGACTTTTTTTTTTTTTTTTTGACAGGCAGAGTGGACAGTGAGAGAGAGAGACAGAGAGAAAGGTCTTCCTTTTGCTGTTGGTTCACCCTCCAATGGCCGCCGCATCGCACTGATCCGAAGCCAGGAGCCAGGTGCTTCTCCTGGTCTCCCATGGGGTGCAGGGCCCAAGTACTTGGGCCATCCTCCACTGCACTCCTGGGCCACAGCAGAGCTAGCCTGGAAAAGGGGCAACCATGACAGAATCCGGCGCCCCGACCGGGACTAGAACCCAGTGTGCCAGCGCCGCAGGCAGAGGATTAGCCTATTGAGCGCGGCCCCTGCCTAACCTTGACCCTTTCTACAACTTCTACAATAAGCAGATCTTTTAGGAAATCTACACGATTCCCAAGAATTCCACAAATATAATTACTGGTAAAACAGGCTTTACAAAGCTCCATAATCTTTTACTAAGGTAGGTTTTCAAAGCATTTACAAATCTTTAAGTTATTGGTGTGCATATGACTTAGTCATATTTTATGTACTTTTTTCCTAATCAAGGTGATATCTATACTGACCAATAAACTGTAGGTACCCTTCAAGAACAGCTGGGCCCACAAAAGGAAGGGGTGTGTGTGTGCACCTGTGTAAGAAAGCCACTTCTTTTCTACTTTTTTTTTTTCCTTACTCCCAGGTCGGGCTATGATGCTGTGCTTAGCTCTCAAGCTTCACTTTTCTGAAAAAAGCAGCACCACCTTCACACTCTGCAGGAGTGTCTTGACTCGTACAGTAGTGTTTCTCATCCTTGCTCCCTCTGGGGAACTCTAATAAAAACCCTTTGGTGGGAGCAGGTATTTAGCCTAGTGGTTAAGCCATCTGCATCCTACATGGGAGTCCCTGAGTTCAAGCCCAGGCTCAGGCTTCTGACTCCAGCTTACTGCCAATGCAGACCATGGGAGACAGCACTGACAGCTCGAGTAATTGAGTTCCTGCCACCTATGTGGGAGATTTGGATCGAGTTCCTGGCTCCTGGCTCCTGGCTCTGGCCCCAGACTAGCTCCTGCTGTTGTGAGCATCTGGGGATTGAACCAGTGGTTGGAAGTTCCCTATCTGTCCCTCAGTGTCTCAGAAATAGAAACAAAACCCAAAAAAACTTGGCAAGGCGGAGCTTCTTCTTTGTTACAGTCTCTCAGCCAAAAAATTTTACTTGGCTCTTGATTTTGCAGATTCTATTGCAATCATTAATCAAATTTTAGTTTTTGAAAAAGATTTGCTTTTTTTTTTTTTTTGACAGGCAGAGTTAGACAGGGAGAGAGAGAGAGACAGAGAGAAAGGTCTTCCTTTTCCATTGGTTCACCCCCCAAGTGGCTGCTATGGCAGGCGCACTGTGCTGATCCAAAGCCAGGAGCCAGGTGCCTCCCCCTGGTCTCCCATGCGGGTGCAGGGCCCAAGGACCTGGGCCATCCTCCACTGCCTTCCCGGGCCACAGGAGAGAGCTGGACTGGAAGAGGAGTAACCGGGACAGAATCCGGCGCCCTGACCGGGACTAGAACCCGGGGTGCCAGCACTGCAGGTGGAGGATTAGCCTAGTGAGCTGCAGCACCAGCCCTAGATTTGCTTATTTATTTGAAAGGCAGTGACAGTGGGAGAAGAGGCAGATGGAGGGAGACAGGGAGATCTCCTATCCAGTGGTTCATTCCCCAAATGCCCAAAAATGTCAGCCCAGGCCAGGCTAAAGCCAAGAGCCAATAACCTAATCTGAGTTTCCCACAAGTGTGGCAGGGGCCCAAATACTTGGGCCATCTTCCACTGCCTTCCCTAATGTTAGCAGAAAGCTGGATCAAAAGCGAAGGAGTCAGGACTTCAATCAGCATTCTTTTTTTTAAAAGATTTATTTTATTTAGTTGAAGAGTACAGAGAGAGGTAGAGCCAGAGACAGAGAGATCTTCCATCTGCTGGTTTACTCCCCAAATGACTGCAATGGCAAGAGCTGAGACGATGCGAAGTCAGGAGCCAGAAGCTTCTTCCAGGTCTCCCATGTGGGTGCAAGGGCCCAAGAACTTGGGCCATCTTCTACTGCTTTCCCAGGCCATAGCAGAGAGCTGGATCGGAAATGGAGCAGCTGGGACATGAACCGGTGCCCATATGGGATGCTGGCATTGCAGGCTGAGGCTTTAACCTGCTGTGCCATCAGCATTCTGATAAGGGATATAAGTCTCACAAACAGCAGCTGAACTGGATGCACCACGATGCTGTCCCCATTAATCAACGTTTCATTTTCTAACATAAAACTATGCATTAAATAGACTTTTTCCAATTATTTATGTCACCTTTACTTCCCGCCCTCAAACCTGAAAAATCACTGTTCGACACAACAACATGAGGTGATGGAGGCACCCTTCACAAGGAAAGCACGGAAGTCCAAGCAGCCACTATGGGGAAGACGCCCAGAACAGCAGCAGGTGAGCACTGGAGGACATCTGAAGGTCAAGGGGACAGCTTTTTCCACATCTCAGTCGCAAGCCAGCACCGATGAGCAGTTTAACAGTAACTTTTTAAAAAGCTTCTGATTATGAAAAAGGGCAAACCAATACAAAGGTAGAGAAAAGAGGACAATGAATCCCCATATACACATCATGCATCTTCAAAAGTCATCAACGCACAACAAATCTGTGCCTTCCATACCCCATGTATTTCACTCCCTCCTTTTTAAAACAATTTTGATGCAAATCCTAAGCATCATTATTTCATTTGTAAATGTTTCAAAATGTTATTTCTAAAGGTCTCTTTAAAACACACATGCTGGGGCACAGCTGTGCCATAACACCTGTGATGCGACGTCCCATATGAAGGCTGATTCGACTCAGCTTGGCCCAGCCCTGGCCTTTGTGGCACTCGAGTAGTGAACCAGTGATTGGAATATAACTCTCTGTCTTCACCTCTCTATGCTTTCCAAATAATAATTTAAAAAAATCTTACACACACACACACACACACACACTACCACCTTGGAACTAAAAATAGTAACAATTTTTATATCAAATACTCTGGATAAAGCTCTTAAAAGAAAATAGAATAAAATCTTTGGGACCTAGAGTTGACATAAAAAAACATAGTCTAAAAGAAAAATGTGGCTAACCTGGATTCATCAAAATTTAAAACTTCTTGGGGCCGGTGCTGTGGCGCACTAGGTTAATCCTCCACCTGCAGTGCCGGCATCCCATATGGGCGCAGATTCGAGTCCTGGCTGCTCCTCTTCCAATCCAGCTCTCTGCTATGGCCTGGGAAAGCAGTGGAAGATGGCCCAGGTCCTTGGGCCCCTGCACCCACGTGGGAGACCAGGAGGAGGCACCTGGCAACTGGCTCCTGGCTTCAGATCGGTGCAGCTCTGGCCTTTGTGGCCATTGGGGAGTGAACCAACGGATGGAAGACCTTTCTCTCTGTCTCTCCCTCTCACTGTCTGTAACTCTACCTCTCAAATAAATAAAAAATCTTTAAAAGAAATTTAAAACTTCTGGTAAAAGACTATTAAGGGGGCTGGTGCTGTGGCGTTGTGGGTAAAGCTGCCACTTGCAATGCTGGCAGCCCATATGGGCACCGGTTCTAGTTCCCGCTGCTCCTCTTCTGATCCAGCTCTCTGCTATGGCCTGGGAAAGCAGAGGAAGATGGCCCAAGTCCTTGGGCCCCTGCACCCACGTGGGAGACCGGGAAGAAGCTCCTGGCTTCAGATTGGTGCAGCTCCGGCTGTTGTGGCCATCTGGGGAGTGAATCAGTGGATGGAAGACTCCTCTCTCTCTCTCTCTGCCTCTCTGTAACTCTGCCTTTCAAATAAATAAAGTAACTCAAAAAAAAAAAAAAAAGGCTATTAAGAGGATGAAAAGATAATCAACAAGATTGGGAAAAAAATACTTGCAGCTACATTTTTGATAAAGAACCTGTACCTAGGCAAAAGAGTCTCAAAACCAGCCATAGGACAAAAGGAATTAACAAACATTTCATCAGAGGACAGATATACAGATGGCCAAAAAGTACATGACAAGATTCAAACACTGTAAGTTTCTGGATTATTCAAACACCATTGCCTTAGGGAAAGGCAAATCAAACCATAATGAGAGGGGCTGGTGCTGTGGTGCAGCGGGTTAATGCCCTAGCCTGAAGTGCCTTCATCCCATATGGGCGCTGGTTCGATATCCAGCTGCTCCACTTCTGATCCAGCTTTCTGCTATGGCCAGAGAAAGCAGGAGAAGGACCCCTGCACCAGTGTGGGAGACCCAGAAGAAGCACCTGGCACCTGGCTCCTGGCTTTGGATCGGCACAGCTCCGGCCGTTGCAGCCATATGGGGAGTGAACCAACAGAAGGAAGACCTTTCTCCCTGTCTCTCCCTCTCACTGTCTGTAACTCTACCTCTCAAATAAATAAATAAAATCTTTGAAAAAAAAAAAAAAAACCATAATGAGATATCACTACACTCCTATTAGAATGGCTAAAATTAAAAAGCGACAATAAAAGTGCAGATGAGGATGAAGAAAAATTGGATCACTCACACACTGCTGGTTAGGATGCAAACTAGCACAGCTACTCTGGAAAAAAGCACGGAAGTCTCTTAAAAAACTAAGTATGATAAGCTGGCGCTGCAGCTCAGTAGGCTAATCCTCCACCTGCGGCACCTGCACCCGGGTTCTAGTCCCGGTTGGGGCGCCGGTTCTGTCCCGGTTGCTCCTCTTCCAGTCCAGCTCTCTGCTGTGGCCCGGGAAGGCAGTGGAGGATGGCCCAGGTCCTTGGGCCCTGCACCTGCATGGGAGACCAAGAGGAAGCACCTGGCTCCTGGCTTCGGATCGGCGTAGCACGCGGCCGTCGCGGCCATTTGGGGGGTGAACCAATGGAAGGAAGACCTTTCTCTCTCCCTGTCTAACTCTGCCTGTCCCAAAAAAAAAAAAAACAAAAAAACCAACTAAATGTGTACTTACTCCATGACTCATCAATGGCATTCTTGTGCATTTCTCCCAGAGAAATGAACTAATGTTCACACCAAAACCTGTACACAAATGTTCACGGCAGCTTTGTCATGACAGCCAAAAACTGCCAACAGCCCAGACGTCCTCCAGCTGGTGAATGATCTGTACCACACACCCATACCATGGAATGCTACCCAACAATGGGGAAAAGCAACACGAAAACCCTACTACCAATATCAGCAACACCGTGGATGGATCTCAAGGACCTCATGCTGTGATAAAGCCAATCTTAAAAGGTCATATCCTGAATGACACCACTCACACAGCATCCTCAAAATGGTAATGATGGAGAATGGCAGTTGTCAAGGGTTAGGAAGGGTGGGGAGGTCGGGCGTTCATATGAAGGACTGTCTTTGTGGTGACGGAATGTTTCTTTATCTTGACTAAAGTGGTGTTCATACAAATTAACATGTATGATTAAATTGCATAGATCTACACACAAATGCATGCAAATTAATGAAATCTGAACAAAATCCACAGACTGTGCCAACGGCAATATCCTGACTTTGGCACTGTATTAAATTAGATGTTATCATTGGGGTAAATGGGGGTTGAAGACAACATGGGACTTCTCTACTATTTTGCAACTTCCTATGAATATATAATCATTTTCAAAATAAAAAATATTTTAAAAACTTCAGTAATCCTAGATTTCTTCCCTCAATGAAAACGTTTCTTAATTGTCTACAGATCCCACAATCCCAGGGCTATTAACGATTATCTCATTCTAATTCCCCTCCAATCCACTGACACACAGAAGCCAAAGTTAACTTTTCAAATAGCAACCTTTAATCACCCTGGCCTCCTTAAAACCGTTTCTTGTGGTTCTTAGAATAAAATTAAAGCCGTGCTGCGATACAGCCCCTCTCCTACGTCATGCAACGCCATCTGTCTTCGAACAAGCTCTGTTCACACCCACGGAGCCCACCGTCCGGCACGACCCGCTCCTTCGCCAGAGAGCAAAGGCAGACAGCAGGTCTGGAATGTGGCCCCCAGCTTCGTCACAAGACGCTGCATTCTGCAGACTCTGATGAGCAACGGAGCTGCTTCCGACAGGGGCAGCTCCAGGCAGCGGGCCCCAGGAGCTGAAAGAATTAACACAGGCTCCAGCTCTTCCAAGCACCACCAGGGACGCTTCCTGTGCGCCAGGGCCTTTTCTCTTCAAATCGACCCCCTACGGGAGACACTAAGATCCTATCCACAACCGATCCTCTAAGGCGGGTAAGGAACCCGCCCAGGGCAGAACCAAGGGCTGTGGCCAACGCCACACTCGCTCTTGACCTCTGTTTAACACCGCCTGACCTCGCGCCCAGAAATGCAACAGACGAACCCTGCAGGTTGCCAGCTCCTGGCTTTCCAGGCTGGAGCTCCACACAGGATCCCGACTTCCTCACGCCTGGGACAGGGAAGTAGGAGCAGGGGCCTAGGTCTAGCACAGGGCACCTCGGAGACAAGCAACAGCAGCGAAGGCGGCGAGGGCGGGCCACCGGCCACTCACCTGGTGCTGGCGCTACGGTCACCTCTGCACAGAGACCAGGGCCTCCGCCACGCTGGTCCGCACGCCCTGGGGAAGCCCCCGCGGAGAGCCCCGCGGGCCCCTCTGCAGGCCCCCCCTAGATAACGCAGCGCCGCCACCATCGCCTGAGCCCCCTCCTCTCCCCTCAGCCTGAACTCCAGTCGGCTCCCGGGCGTGCTCTTTCTGGCTCCGCCCCTCGAGCAGGGACCAATGAGGGTTGCGCCTTTGGCCCACGTGGGAAGGCGCCGGTAACCAATAGGCGCGCGCAGCGGAGGGCGCAGGGCTGGCCGGCGCCGTGGACGCCGGGGACGGTGGCTCACTGGTTCTCTCCGACGCTGTGAGTAGCGGAGCTAGGCCGCGAGCGGGGCGGGGTCGGCCGGCGGTGGTGGTCACACCTCTGCCGGTCCCTTCTCGCGGTGCTGAGCTGACTGAAAACCTGGCCCGCCGGGTCGCGCGCCACCGACCCTTCCCGCCCAGCGGGAGAAAGTCTGGGCGCGTTTTGGTGAAAACTCTTGGGCGCGTCCAGCGGCTCCCCTTCCCCGCTCGACCTGCCCCCTGCGGGCAGCTGCAGGCCCAAGGCTGGACATGGCCCGGCCCACACCGAACCCAGGGTCCACCCAACAGGGGCGCCCCGGCCGGAGGGAGGCCCCTTGTAGACTTTTCTTTTATGAGGTCACTGGCGGCGGCTCATAATCAGTGACTGATTCTCCTTGTAAATACTCAGTTCTGGGCGGGGCACTGGGGACTGGATGGACAGAGAGCTTGGTCTATCAGCGTTCATCAGTCTGTGCCTTTTTCTGAAATCCTGGGCCAACATAACAGTTGTAAATTCACCTTGTACAGGTCGGCTCACCTCTGTTTCCTTACCTGTAATGTGCGGGTGATGAGCTACGTAGGCTCTAAGGCACTTTCTTACTAAAAATGTGTGGTTCTCTGTCTCCGTGCTAGTTTAACACCCGTTTTCGGTGCTCGCTGGCAGTTTGGAATCCATAGAGTCCACGCAGCTGCACAGATCATGAATAGGGTAGCGATGGCTCTGGCCGGAAGGGCTTGACTTGCCTGGTCAGGTCGCTAACAAGGTGGCTCTGAGAAGCCGTTTCACCTGTCTAAGACTGTCCACAGGTCCTCAGTGAGCTGGACCCCCCCACCCACCCCCAGCAGATGACAGGAGCCTGAGGCTTCTGGGGTCCTGAGCCAAGTGAAGAATTAGATAACCCGCAGCTGTTCACTACCAGGACAGCATATTTTGATTTTTTGGTGAGAACAATGTAGCATGTTGCCTGCTTGTTCCATCACGGTTGGAAAAAAAATGTTGTAAACATTCAACTTTTTGAGATGGTTGTAGATTAACAGTTGTTAACAATAGAAATCCTGTGTATTTTTCACTCTGTCTCCCCATCTTGCCTAACTGGAGTATAATATCATAACCAGGCTCTCAACGCTGGCAGAACCCATTGATTTTACTCAGATTTTCTGAGTTTAGCATTTCTGTGTGCACCATTAGATTACGTGTTGCCACGTATGTAGACTGTGGTGTACATCACCAAGGTCCCAACACAGCAGTTTCATCGCTGCGAGAGTCCCTCCCCCACCCCTTTGATAAGCACAGCTTCCCCGTGCAGCTTGGCCCCCATCTGCCCCTCTAAAATGTTGTCATTTCAAGAATGTTGCAGAAATGTAATTGTACAGTATATAACTTTCAGAGATTAGCATTTCAGTCAACTAATCCCTTGAGATCCATCCAAATTTTTGCATGTATTCATAGCAATAGTCCATTCCTTTTTATGGAATACATTCCATAATATGAATATACTGCAGGATGTTTAACCATTTGCCCATTGAAATATATTTTGAATTGATTCCATTTTTCAGTTGCTAGAATAATGCTATTATGAGCATTAATGTATAACTGTGTGTGAACGGGTGTTTTGTTTTTCTAGGGTGAGTCCCAAGAATCAAATTGCTGTGTTATATGGTAAGTGCGTTTAATTTTTTAAAAAATACTTTTAAAAAGTATATTTATTTGTCTTTCTTTTTTTAAGTATATTTATTTGTTTGTTTGAAAGGCAGAGTTACACAGAGAGAGGGAGAGACAGAGAAGAGAGAGATCTTCCATCTGCTGGCTCACTGCAAAAAGCCAAGTTGGCCAGGGCTTGGCCAGATAAAAGCCATAAGCCTGGAACTCCATCTAGGTCTTCCATGTGGATGGCAAGGGCCCAAGCACTGGAACCATGTTCCGCTGCTTCCTCAGGCACATTAATAGGGAGTCAGGGGCCCAGCGCTGTGGCGCAGTAGGTTAATCCTCTGCCTGTGGCACCTATTCTAATCCCAGCTGTTCCTCTTCCAATCCAGTTCTCTACTATGGCCTGGGAAAGCAGTGGAAGATGGCTCAAGTCCTTGGGCCCCTACACCTGTGTGGGAGACCCAGAGGAAGCTCCTGGCTCCTGGCTTCAGATCAGCTCAGTTCAGCTCAGCTCCAGCCGTTGTGGTCATTTGGGGAGTGAACTAGTGGATGGAAGACCTTTCTGTCTCTCCCTCTCACTGTAAATAATTAAAATCTTAAAAAAATAAAATAAGGAGCTGGATTGGAACTGAAGCAGCGATGACTCAAACCAGGGCTCATACGGGATGTGGCTTAACCACCTTCTGAGCCAGAACACAGTATATATTTAGTTTGTAAGAAACTGCCTGACTTTTCCACAGTGGCTGTACCATTTTATACTCCCACCAGCAATGTTTGAAGTACTTCTCATTGTCAACAGCATCAAGGTGTTGTCACTATTTCTTGTTTTAACCATTCTGGTAGGTATAAAGTAGACATCATTGGTTTTTAGCTTACACAGGATACAGTTGATCTGATACTAGATTGAATACATAATTACATACTTTAGGGGCTGTGATCAGACTTTTGTCATGATTTTTAAGAATTATCAAGTGACTTTGAGCATGTGTTTCCTTGCTTAGCAAGGGGGAAATGACTCAGAGTACACATGCTCTCTTTGTACAAATTGCTCTGCTTGACTCCCCCTCTGTCGCTCCCCCTCTTTGTGGAGGAATGACACAGGACCCTGCACTGTTCTTTTGTCTGCTCGGCCCTTCCCGGGTTGGCTGCTGGTTCTTCCCGGGTTGGCTACCGTCCTTCCACCTCCGTGGAAGGGCGGTTCCCCCTGCCACTTTCCCCACTTCCGCGGGGGAGCAGCACACCGCCGGCCGGCTCTCTCGAGGGCTGCTCAGATGTTCCTCAGGTGTTCCTCTTAGATGTTCCTGGTGCATGTTGTCTCTCTCCTCCTTTATAGTCCTCTTCCACCAATCCCAACTCTGCTACCCACACGCCGAGTACGCTGCTCTCCTCCAATCAGGAGCAGGATCAGCTCCTGCAGGTTACTGGTCGAACTGGAGGCAGCTGTGTAGAAGCTGTTTACTCCTCTCTCAGCGCCATATTGTGGGAGAGCAGATGCATAGAATAAGTCTTAATTCCAGTAATTTAGTCTAGTCTGAGTTGCTCCCCACACCCCTCCAAGGTTAGACTGTACGGTAGCTTGTGTCAAATAATTTCAAATCAAAATCTTACCTGGCATTCATACACCTTGTCAGGTCTGTGGCTAGAGACATTCATATTTCTGATACACCCTTCCCACTTCAGGTTCACTGTCTTCCAGGGAAGTCCAGAACCTATGAGAAGTTAGTTCAGTGAGTGCCGTGTGATGTTTGAGGGGAGCAACCGAGACTAGACTAAATTACTGGAACTAAGACTAATTCTATGCATCTGATCTCCTATCATATGGTGCTGAGAGAGAGTAAATAACTTCTACACAGCTGCCTCACCAATTCGACTGATAAGCTGCAGGAGCTGATCCTGCTCCTGATTGGAGGAGAGCAGCATGCTCAGCACGTTGGGAGAGAATACCAGGAGAGTTGGGATTGGTGGAAGAGGACTATAAAGGAGGAGAAAGACAACATGCACCAGGAACATCTGAGGAACATCTGAGCAACCCCTGAGAGAGCCGGCCGGCGGTGTGCTGCTCCTCCACGGAAGCGGGGAAAACGGTGGGGGTGCGGAGGTGGGGGCGGAGGGGGGGCCGGCAGCAAACCCGGGATGGTGTCGTTCCTCCACGAGTGGGGGAGCGGCAGCAAACCCAGGAAGGGCCGGGCAAAAAGAACAGCTCAGGGTCTGGTGTCGTTCCTCCGCAAGTGGGGGAGCAACAGTGTTGATCTAATTAACTGCTCCTAAGGCCTTTGCTTCCAATTTCTAGTGGACTTTTCTGTTGGTCTGTCCTCAGGGATGGCACATACCTTGGGAATTGAATTAGAATCAGTAATTGATGATTTATAGTGGAATAGTTTAGTAATGAGGGAAAAACCTCCCCTATTGTGATTGCTTTACACTCCTCTGCCCACAATGTATGGCCTCAAAAACTGTGTTTTTTTTTTTTTTTTTTTGACTGCCAAGTTAACTGTCACTTTGAGTAGCCTAACTAATTATATTGAATATGTAAAATCAAAACTTATACTTTATTGACATTTTTTTCACTCACCTTTTTTTTAATTAAAAAGAACAGATTTCATGTAGTTAATAGATAAAGTTCTAAAGAATATAATGATGGGACTGGTGCTGTGACATAGTGGGTAAAGCCACCACCTGTGGCACCAGCATCCCTTATGGGCATAGGTTCAAGTCCTGGCTGCTCCCCTTCCAATCCAGCTCCCTGCTAATGATCCTGGGGAAGGACTGGAAAATGGCCCAAGTACTTGGGCCCCTGAACCCACATGGGAGACTGGTATGAAGCTCCTGGCTCCTGGTTTCTGTCTGGCCCAGCCCCGGCTATTGTGGCCATTTGAGGAGTGAACCAGCAGATGGAAGATTTCTGTGTGTGGGTGTGGGTGTAACTCTGATTTTCAAATCTTTTTAAAAATAATACAATGGTAAGAACTTCTACTTTAAAAATTACTGTTGTTATGCAATCCTAAAACTCTAGATCAAATCTACAGAAAAAACACTTTGTAAATATCCTATTTTGAGTAACACATTAGCAATCTGGCCTCCTCTAAGTTATAAACACAATTGCAACTTTTAGAAACACTGTTACACACTCATGGCTATAGGCCAAGTTCTGATTGGAATGTTTGCTTTGGTTTTTGTTTTCATAATTTGAATTCCTGGGTTATTTATGGCAGCAGCAATTTAGTAGTGGCTGTTTCCTAACTGCTTTTAACCAGCTTCTTTTAATTTGCCAGAGCAAATCCAACAACTCACCACTAGAGGTCTCCTCATTCCCAGTGGTGGTGCTTGGACTCAAGCAAAGAAAACAAGAATTCCCAAAATTGCTTGGCTAAGTTGCTGTTCTCTGTAACTCTGCCTTTCAAATAAATAAATAAATCTTAAAACAAAAAAGAAAATGTAAAAGTAGCCTAATATTTTTAAACCTTTATTACCAAATATAAATTTAATTTTATCTATAATTTATTTCAAATGTAATATCTAGTTCTTTTATAGATCACAGCTGAAATACATTTGGCCTTCTCTTTAAGCCAAAAGATAGGCCAAAATTAAATGAAATTATTTCATTTTCAAAGACCACCACAATTTACTTGCTGAATAAGCTCCTCTGATTCACCTTTCTCCGTGGAAATGTGTCAACTGTTGAAGACTATTAACAAATATTTATTAAGTTTTACATTATGTTGAAACAAATGGAAATGAATAAAATGTTTCCTTGCTTCCTTTTGCTCTACATACTTTTTGGCTTTCCAATGGGAAACTCTTGTATGTTTGTTTGTTTGTTGGTTTTAAGATTTATTTATTTGAGGGGCCAGCGCTGTGATGCAGTGGGTTAATGCCCTGGCCTGAAGTGCCAGCATCCTATATGGGCGCCGGTTCTAGTCCTGGCTGCTCCTCTTCCGATGCGGCTCTCTGCTATGGCCTGTGAAAGCAGTAGAAGATGGCCCAAGTCCTTGGGCCCCTGCACCCGTGTGGGAGACCCGGAAGAAGCTCCTGGTTCCTGGCTTTGGATCAGCGAGCTCTGGCCACTGCGATCATCTGGGGAGTGAACCAGCAGATGGAAGACCTCTCTCTCTCTCTCTCTCTCTGCCTCTCTTCTCTCTATGTAATTCTGACTTTCAAATAAATAAATAAAATCTTTAAAAAATATTTATTTATTTGAAAGACAGAGTTACAGAGAGAGGTAGAGCCAGATAGAGAGGTCTTCCATTTGCTGGTTCACTCCCCAGATGATTGCAGTGGCCAGACCTGAGCTGAACCAAAGCCAGGAGCCAGGAGCCAGGAGCTTCCTCTGGGTCTCCCATGTTGGTGCAGAGGCCCAAGGCCTTGGGCCATCTTATACTGCTTTCCCAGGCTATATCAGAGAGCTGGATCGGAAATGGAGCAGCCAGGACTAGAACTGGTACCCATATGGGATGCTGGCACTGCAGGCTGGGGCTTTAACCCACTGCACCACAGTGCTGGGCCCCCACAATGGGAAACTCTTAATCATTGCCTCAAAAGAGCCCTCTACTATGAAGCCTTCCCCGTACTCCCTTCTTTGATCTCATGTGGCCTTTGTTCTGACCTCTATTAAGACACCATGTGGCATTCATTCATTTCCATGTCATCTGTTGTCTTCACTATTCAGTACATTCTGTGAGGTCAGCAATCATATTTTTCTAAGTGTCTCTTTCTCATGTTGTGCCTATTTGTGTGTGTGTGTGTGTGTGTGTTATTTCTTTTCAACTAAGTACATTATTTAATACATGGACACGTATTAAGTGAATCAGTGCAGAGTAAATGGCCATGGCATTTGAGTAGGGTCTTGAAGTTGAGGAAGGTTTCTACAGAGAGGATTGGTGGGGATGGAGTGGCAAATTGAGGTAACGGCCTGAATAGCAGCTAAGAAGGTCCAGACTGATAAATGAGTTTGGCAACCAGTGCAGTGTTAGGGGTAGGCACAGTTTCAGAGAGCTTAACAAGAAACTGGAAGGGTTGAGAGAGTGAGAGGAGGTAGCAGGGGGAGAGATTTCCCGCAATGAAAACAGAATGCTGGTGGAAAAGGGATAAAGGAGGGTGTAGGTGACCCCCTGGGTCCTGTCCTCGAGTGTCACCCTCACTGTCACCCCCTGGGTCCTGTCCTCGAGTGTCACCCTCACTGTGACCCCCTGGGTCCTGTCCTCGAGCGTCACCCTCACTGTTACCCCCTGGGTCCTGTCCTCGAGTGTCACCCTCACTGTTACCCCTGGGTCCTGTCCTCGAGTGTCACCCTCACTGTGACCCCTGGGTCCTGTCCTCGAGTGTCACCCTCACTGTTACCCCCTGGGTCCTGTCCTCGAGTGTCACCCTCACTGTTACTCCCTGGGTCCTTTCCTCAAGCGTCACCCTCTCTGTAACCCCCTGGGTCCTGTCCTCGAGTGTCACCCTCACTGTTACCCCTGGGTCCTGTCCTCGAGTGATTGAGAAATGGGCCCTGGACTGGTGGGAGAGAGAATTGGAGTGTTTCAGCACTCCACCAATTAGCTGCGAAACATTGAGCAAGTCCCTTCAAACACATGTGTGTGTTAATACCCACCTTGTTCCAGGAAGGATTTAGGGTGTCAGCAAGTTACTTAATACCAGAGCTTCGGTTTCCTCATCTCTGAAAGGGAGATTTGGTCCCAGTGATCTAAATTCCTCCCAGTGCTAACATTTTATGACTCTGATTCCAAGGATTTGTTGGTCACCTCCACTTAGAAGTCCTGCCAATATCTTACTGAGAATATGAAAAGCTGGCAGAAAGTAAAACTAAACCCACAACTTTGATGTTGATTTTTCCTGTTACAGCATCACTATCCTAACAGTGACCCCAAAACAAAACTTGATGTCATTGTCAACTCCTCTGGTCCCTGCCCCAGACATCTCAGTCATGGGGAATGTACCCCAGCAATGTCATTCCTTTCCTTTCCTAACTAGCCCCTTACCTTTGGCCACATGAGATTGAAGCCCTCACTGCTGTCTCTCCCATCCTATTAACTCTCAATCTTGCCGCCGCTGAGTAAATTTCCTTCTGATTTTTTTTTAAAAAGATTTAATTATTTTTATCTAAAAAGGAGAGTTAGAGAGAGGGAGAGACAGAGAGAGCGTTCATCCTTTGGTTCACTCCCCAAATGGCTTTAATGGCCTAGGCTAGGCCAGGCCAAAGCCAAGAGCTTCCTCTGGGTCTCCCATGTGAATAGCAGGGGTCCAAATACTTGGGGCTTCTTCCTCTGCTTTCCCAGGGGCATTAGCAGGAAGCTGGATAGGAAATGGAGCAGCTAGGACTGGAACTCTGGCACTCCTATGAGGTGCTGGCATCATCACAGGTATTGCCACACCACCAGCCCCTGCTAATTTTCCTAAAGCACAGCTCTAACAATACCTTAGTGACTCCCAGATGCCTGCAGAATGCACACCAAATGCCCTCCCCGGCCTGGCAGCATGGTGCCTGTTCTCATGACCCCCACGCTAACCAACCTGAACAGCAACCTGCTGTAAACGATCCTGCCTCAGCTCATTACCCGGCATAAAGTTTCCTGGTACCTGTGTCTCTTGAAATCCTGTCTTTATGGCAGCTCTTTTGAAATCCTCTCTTCCTTATTTTAACTCCCTGATTTGATTGTCATTTATTTGAACTACGCAGTGACTTGTTGTGGGCCACTGTGCCTGCGTATTAACCTGGCAGCTCCTCAGGGGGCAGATGCCAGGTTTCATTTATGTTTCCCCCCACACACACACCTGGCACACTCCTGGAGAAACACTAATTGGAATAAATCGGATTGAGACCTAGATCAAAACTCACTGTCTCAACCCAGGTTATAGATTTCTACAGCTGGGAATCATCTGAGCAAATCATCACCTTCTACATGTAAGAAAACCCAGGGCCAGAGAGGTGAAGCCACTTGGCCCCCCCCTCCCGCCCAAGTGCTCTGTTAGTACTACTCTGGTGACACCCTTGCAGCCTTGTCACGGATCCATTTTCACGCATCCTTCCTCTTCCTGGGTGTAAGCATCTTAACCTCAACACGTTAGGCAACTTTAGTTTGTCATTTTGACGCTACTAGTGTAGACTGGGGATAGAGCTGGCTGGTTTCATCTCACTTGTAGTGCCACTGCCTGCATGAACACTAGGTGGCCACACTGCGGACACAACTCCAGTTGAGGTTTAAACAATGGAACTCAGTGTTAACCCTGGAAAGAATCTTAGACACCATCCAGTCCAGCCGCTTGTTGGCAGCAAAAGCCCCTACCCCCGAGAAGCAGAGACGGGAGCGCCTCGGTAATTGCGGAGTAGCCAGTGCGTCGTCAGCTTTGCTGGCACAGAAGTATTGACCATGAGGTTATGAAGTGAGTAGGCAGGGACTCTGACTGGCCGTCAGTGATCTAATGTGAGTTCTGTTTTGAATATCTAGATCAAATGATGCTGTTGCAAAAAATCCCCCAGCAACTGTGCAGCTTAAAGAAATGCCCATGGTCATGTGATTCCAGATACTTCTGGGGCTGGTTGAATGCAGTATTTAATAAGTAAGTTACTCTAAAGTGAAGAAAGGTGGGTTTGTTACAGCTAAGGAGTTCCCAGTAGCTTTCTCTAATTCTTCTTTTTTTTAATCAAATAGTTTTTGAACAATGTGTGTAGTAAGACCCGAATTTTGTGTACAGACAAAACATACACGTGAACATAGTGGGGAAAAAGACCAGAAAAAATAGATTACGAAATAACTGTGGTTGTAGGATTTCACTGTTTTTTCTTATTTGTCCTTTGGATGTCTTTAGTTGTCAAAAATGAGTACATATTACTTTTGTAATCAGGAAAATGTAATAAATGTCATTTAAAAATATTCTTTGGCTTCTTAAGATATCCTTTTGAATGATATCAAGGGAACTTAAGTTGTTAAAACATCAGTAGGTAACATGCTTAGAAGTGTTTTGAAACTGATCTTCTCATTTAATATATCATTATGATCACTAACTAGAGAAAAAGGCACATGTAGAAAGTAATAAATATCACTGCTGAGATTAATTTGGAAATGGGTTCAGAACATTGCCTTCTTTATCCTTTTATCACTTATACCAGTGCCAACCCAGTGTTATCATTCATTTAATACGTAGTGCTGAGTGTCTCTGGTATCAGACTCTGTGTTACACATGAATGAGTGAAGGCTCATATGTGCCTGAAAAACTCGTGTAAAAAATAATATGCCTTGACAGAGTTCAGTTGGAAACACAAAAGCAAAAAATGAGCACATAGAGCTGCAGAATGGGGTTTGGTTTTGATATACTTACCTCCCTCCTCAGTTGTTTGAAATGAAAAGTTGTTGCTGTTTTGTGTTCATATTGGAATCTGAGACACCAGTGATTATAGTTGAAGTGAGCTTCATTTGTTCTCTACAGAGTGGATCATGACCGCATCAAGGATGTCGGCCCCAACAGGGCTGCGTCTGAGTGGCTGCTGCGCTGTGGGGCCACCGTGCGCTACCACGGCCAGGAGAGGTGGCAGAAGGACTACAACAACCTCCCAACAGGCCCTCTGGACAAATACAAGATTCAAGCCATCGATGCCACCGACTCCTGCATCATGAACATTGGATTTGATCACCTGGGTAACTACCCTGTCATTTTGCTCATAGCTCCTAGCGAGTTCTTGTGACTCACTATTACAGTCACAGGCAGGTGCTTTTAGCCCAGGTCAGTATAATGAAGGTTGTTCTTCCCGGATTATTTTCAAGTTAAGAAGAGGTTACGAACACCTTTTCCCCACCCAGCTAAGCTTGTTTCTGGATGCCTTTATGTTGTGGTTTATTCACTTAAAATGCAAGCCTAAACTATCTTTGTCCAAGATCCCGCCACTGAGAGGCCCTCAGTAATTGTATCCAGTTATTCCCCTGCTTGTGTGGGCGTTTCTTTCTCCAGTGCAGGGCTTGTGCCTGCCCAGCGGCCCTGTGCTCAGCACTACCTGCACAGTGAACACGTCGTTCGGCTCAGAGGGTGAGCAGTCATCCCAGTATTCATGGGACTGGGACGCTTCCAGAATTGAGGACTTCACCCCTGGACCCAGGACAGTCCTGGGCAGACTGAAGCAGTCTTCTTACTGATAAATTAGATTCTTAAACGGTGCTTTCTCTCCCTGCAGAGGGCCTAGAACATGTTGAAAAAATCCGGCTGTGCAAGTGTCATTATATTGAGGATGACTGTTTGAAGAGGCTTAGTCAACTTGAAAAATTACAGAAAAGCTTATTGGAAATGGAGATAATTTCCTGTGGGAATGTCACAGACAAAGGCATCATTGCTTTGTGTCATTTAAGGTAGGTGGTCAAGGCCAAAATGCAACCTTGACAATGATATTAAGGCAAGTGAATAATCAGAATTTAAAATAGTTGAGAGATGGTGTCTTCTTTTAGGTTTTGAAAAATATAATTTAAGAAAATAATTTAAGTTTTACCTGTAACACTTTAAAAGTTAAAATGATCAACTTTAATATATTAAGGTTTTAAAGCCTAAAGAGGGTTTTTTTTTTAAATTAAATCTATACACAGCACCTAGAATCGTGCCTGCCACCATAAGCCCTCAATAAGCATTAGCAGTTACGCTTCCTCTCCATCTTTTAAAGTCATTTTCCTCATGTTTTTGGTATTTCCTGACATCTGTTAGCAGTAACTGGACAATTGTTTGAGGTGAAAAAGAACCTTGAGATATTCACCAGCCTCTGGAGCCTTTGACACTGCCCGACGCTGTAAGAGGTTTCATTAGTAGGCATCTCCCAGTTAGGAAAGCTGCCATGCATCCCTTGTGCTGCCAGCCAGACCTGTGCCACAGCCGAGAGAGAGCATGTTACTCAGCACCAAATGTGAAAGCAGATTCCAACAAGGAACGTTCAATTCTAAAATTGCAGGAATCTGAGTCTTATCAGAATGATGAAGAATACACTTGTTTAATCAAATCCCATTGTTCAAATTCTGACTCCAGTTAATATGGGTCTGCTCTAATGTAATGAAAGGATCTGCCAATAAGCTGAGCATCACAGGAAGCCTAAGAATTTTAAACATGAAGATCAAAAGTACAAGATTGTTCATCTCTTACATTAATTGAGGCTTCCGAGCTTCATCTTCCAGTAGAAATGAGTAATTTTAAGGCCTTTCCCACGTTTTTTCCTCTTTTTGGGTTGATTCACTTAATTCACATGTAAAGGACATCTATGGCATCCCATAAATATATGCGCACATGAGAGTACTTCAAAAAGTTCAGGGAAAATGGAATTAGAAGATGTTTATTTTGGTGCAAAATATTTCTTGAAATGCAAACATATGAAGGGTCTTCAAAAAGTTCATGAATATGTATAATATAAAAAAACTATATGTGGTTTTCAAACTTTTTTTTACTCTAAGACCACTGTTCTAAAAGACTTTCTGAAGGTATAGGGCGATAACACATTATCTAATTTTTCCTGAAAGTAACGACTTTATTTTAATTCTATAAAAGTCAAGGACACATTGACCTTTTTTTTTTCCTTCCATTTTTATAGAAACCTCAAGTATTTGCTTTTAAGTGATCTTCCCGGAGTCCGAGAAAAAGAAAATCTTGTTCAAGCCTTTAAGACCGCACTGCCTTCTCTGCAACTAGAATTGCACTTGAAGTAAAACAGTAGTGACCAATAAGTGTCTTTTTTTAGTATAAAGGAGCATTTCAAATCGTTGGTCCTAAACAACAACAGATATTATATGATCATTCACAGAAGGATGAAGAAGTCTTATCATGGCATTGTAGAAATGGAGAGTCTACGTAGTAGGAAATTGTTGGATGTGACTCACTAAAGCTACTCTGTTGAAAGTGAGACTTGAATACAATAAACCATGTTAATAAAGATGCAAATTAGGTAGCATTTAAGTTGTAAGATTCAGTATTTAATACAAATACCCATATAAATATCTTCTCATGTAGACAGATTCATCAAAGTGATCAGGGAGCATAACATGGATATCTATTTATTATAACTAATTTGTATTATATTTAACTTTAAAATTGTTGAAGCATGTTATTATAAGTGCACAATCATGATGAACTAAAACCCAAATTACAGATTGATTAATGAAGTGAAATATGCAAAGTAGCTGAAGGTTGTTGAGGCCTCCATGTATATGGCTTCCCGGTCTGCATGCTTTTCTCATGATCCTGCATCTCTGTGTTCTTAATAGCATATCGACTTGATCAGATTAAATGCTTTCTAACCTATGTTGTAAGCTTAGGTTAGTTTTTTTTATGAAAATTGGACAGAGATACTTGTCTTAATTCATATAGTGCTGCTGATGGCAACAGAACAGAGGAAATACTGTTAAAGACCAGCAGGCTAAGCTTTTCTCTTAAAAAATAATTTCATAATAAACACCATAATGCAATTTTCAAGCAGAAAGATGAATTTTAGTTGTTTTGGAAACCAACTTATGTAAATAATACATAGCATAAATGATATATACTGTTTACTAATATAATTGCCACTATCAGTGAAATCCATTGGAGAACAGAGAATAGAAAGGATGGAGAATGGTGTCATGTGATACAGTGTGATTCCATGCTGAAGAAAAGGATTATAGACACGGTTAAACTGAGCATGAGCTGACTGGACGCGCCAGAGAAAACAGCTCTCTTTGTCGAGGGGTTCACTGCCATGTGCTGACAGAACTGATTCACCATGATTTGTGCACAGCTGCATTTCGATTCTGAATGATTTTCTGTGAAACCACTGGGTGAACTGGGCAGTTATAGTCATCTGCCTCTGTCAAAAAAAAAAAAAAAAAAAGACAAAAATGTTAACTCTTTGTAGAGTCTGGGTGTTCTTCCCTGTCATTGGAATCAAGGTGGCATAGCCGGAACTGAATAACACAGGGACTATTCCTTAACCCACTCCTAGGTCTATGCAAGAAGCTACAGGAATTAGGAAGCCTTAGGATGTCATTAAACTGGTTGGGTAACCAAAATTATTGGACAGATGCCAGTACGTAGTGGATTGCTCAGCAATGAGTGAATAGGTCAGGTGCTGTCATGAAGAAAATGAGCACAGAAAGAAAATTAGGGTGCAGAAGAAATGTTCTGAAGGTACAATAAAATACAGCTTTGAAACCATGGCTGGGAACTACAAGGAAACAGTGGCAGCATACACAGAAGAAACAGTACTGAGCTGTAAGAACCAGACATGGAGCTGCATGTTGCCCTGTGTCCATGGAACAAGGATGAAAAAGCTTATGGGTTAGGAGCAGTTGGCCAAATCAAAGCTACTTACATGTCATCAACTTCAGTCTTACGGTACAAGGCTAGGAATCCTCCTTTTAAACTAACTTCTTATTTGTAATATATTACTTGTTAGGTAAGATATACATACACATGTGTGTGTACATGTGTGTGTGCACATAAAAATGTAAAAAGATGTTTCAGGGAAAACACCAATTTACAAGCTAACAACTTTCATGACTCAAGTTAAAAGCTCAGAAGCAGGTCCTTCGAAAACCCTGATCAGTATATACAGTTCTCCCTGTAGATCTATCTACAAGGGTGAGGCTGAGCTGGAGAAAATGAAGTGGTATTAATTTTCAGGCTGACAGGTTCAGTTCCTGCAAAGCCTGTAGGACTTGTTCTACTCTTTGACCACCTTGGGCAGCTGCCAAGCTTCATGCATTGTTTGCGAAGAGAAACGGGTCAGCAAGAACATATGGATTCCAGTAAGTCCATCCGTCTGCAGACTGACCAAGAGACAGTCTTCACTGAAGGGAAAGGCAAAAGTCTGGTAGCAGCGCATCAGCATAGCTTTAAAACTTTCAGCAATGAACTATGAAGTCTTTATGATAATCCATGTGATTTTAAATACTTTGAACTTAAATATCCTCAAAGATTGTTTTAAAATATCAAAATCAAGAGAGAGAACAAACAGGAAATGGAATTTTAAACATTTTGATTTTAGGAACTAAAACTATCCCTAAATATGATGTTGAGACAATTTGAAAGGGGGTGCAATCAGACTCAAGGCACCAGAGCGCTGCAGACACACATATGGGCATTCTGTAACCCATTTTTCCCCTGGGGCATGTGGTCTAACTGAAACAGAAATATTTGACATCATCTAATTTTGCCAGTAGTATAGGCGGTAGATACAGTTTATACTCCATCCATAAACTTGACTGCTTAGATAAACAAAGACAAAAGTACAATTCCAAACAAGTCTTTCCCTTCTGGACACCACAGTCAGGCATGGAAGATTGGGTCTGGAATCTCCCTTCATCCCTTGCCAAGAGGCCTCCCAGTTACTGGCTTGTGTTTTCTCCTGGTGTGTTCCCAACATTGTAATTGTTTTCAATCAAATGTGTAACATTTCTTTTCAAATAACTGATCCATTCCGATGGCATCAATCCCCTAGCTCCTTAAATGTTTGGGAAGCGGTAGTCCAGTTTCTTCGTATTACAGTAGTACTTCTTCTTATCCAGAGCCGGAAGGATGCTGCTGCTCGTGAGCTGGGGTAAGTACTGCAGCTGGAAATACAAAACAGTTTTTACTAACTTTAAATCAAACAGTTGAATCCTTTAGGACTTTAAAGCAATACTCCGGCCGGCGCCGCGGCTCACTAGGCTAATCCTCCGCCTTGCAGCGCCGGCATACCGGGTTCTAGTCCCGGTCAGGGCGCCGGATTCTGTCCCGGTTGCCCCTCTTCCAGGCCAGCTCTCTGCTGTGGCCCGGGAGTGCAGTGGAGGATGGCCCAGGTGCTTGGGCCCCTGCCCCCCATGGGAGGACCAAGATAAGTACCTGGCTCCTGCCATTGGATCAGCGCGGTGCGCCGGCCGTGGCGGCCATTGGAGGGTGAACCAGAGGCAAAAGGAAGACCTTTCTCTCTGTCTCTCTCTCTCTCACTGTCCACTCTGCCTGTCAAAAATAAATAATTAAAAAAAATTAAAAAAAAGAAATACTCCAACTAGTGAGGTTCCCCTCCCCAGTTCTTTTTTAAAGTTATTTGAAAGGCAGAGTTACAGAGGGAGAGAGAGAGAAGGATCTTCCATCTGCTAATTCACTTATTCCTCATGGCTGCATCAGCCAGGGCTGGTGAGGTCGAAGCTAGGAGTCTGGAACTCCATCCCGGTCTTTCACATGGGTGGCAGGGGCCCAAGCACTCAGACCATCCTCCTTTGCTTTCTGAGGCACCTTAGTAGGGAACTAGATCGGAAGTGGAGCAGCTAGAACTCAAAACAGTCCTCATATGGGATGCCAGTGTCGCAGGCAGTGGCTTAACCTGCTGTACTTCAATGCTGTTTCTCCTGGTTGTTTCTCCTGTTTTTTGAAGTGGACATATTTCCATCAGGACCCTTTACAAAGTAGAAGGGACACAGGGCTAACTGGGGTTGGGGAGTCCGTTTCTGGCCTGTTTTGCTACCTGGGTCATAGATGAGAGGGAGTAAAATAGAATCATTGTTTTCTTACTGTGGCTTACCTGCAGCCACGCAGCTCCTGTGGGTTCCTAAAGGACTCCTGGCCCTCCTCCCTCTGCCAAGCCTCATATCACCCAGATACCATTTGATGTTAGGGAGCAATGGAGGCTACAAGTGGCAAGACTAAGGCAAGCTGATGCTTAGCCCAAGAAGCCTCTAGACAGACTCAGAGGTGACCAGAAGCCAGCTCATCTTAGGTATGGTCCCAGCTACAGCTCATTCGGGAGTTTTTGCCTTAGGGCAAGACTGACTATCAGGCTGTTTTATCAGTTTTCCCAGTCAGGAATTTTCAAGGCTGGTCGTGTGTGTACGGATGCTGTTCTGTTGATAATCACTGGAATTGCTCACTTCCCCTAGCAAATTCTGACAACTCAGGGATCAGGGAGGAAAACTGTTCCTTTTTTGGATAAACCTGGAGTGTTACTACTGAGGGCACATGTGATGAAAAAGAACTACAAATCCGATTTTGTTTCTCTGAAACACAAGTGCGTTGAGCTGGACTCATGTTCATGAACCTGGCAGCAACCTGCACTCAGGCACACTGGGAACACTGGCCCCTGTGTGGCCGCAGGAAACAGCAGGGTGAGGACACCTGCAGGGTTCAGGGAGGATGGGCTCCAGGAGGCAGATGTCCCTGGGCCCTGGTGGGGAGAGCCTGTGACCTGTTTCTTGATGCCGGACTGATGGTGCAAGCTACAGTTGCCACCAAGGACTCCAGCTGGGTTCCAGGTGGCAGGTCTGAGAAAGCGTAATCAATCAGATAACTCTTATAAAGCAGTGCGCCATCTTTACCCCAGGCAGGTGCTTTCGGCTTTGTCTTAAGTTTTTCCTTGTTGGTTTGTCGTGGTCTTTGGCCAGCTCTCTTGTTTCTCGGATGCTGTCAAAGTAGGGGTGCTGCAACAGCTGTTCACAGGTCAGCCTCTGAGCAGGGTCCATGTGCAGGCAGCCCTGGGAGAGCAGAGAAGCCCCTCTTACTGCCTTAAATGGTACTGATGGCATCTTTGTGTAAGTAGAGAAACACACCTGTCGTAATTTGAGTTACTTCCACAGTCACTCCTGACTACCCACATAGATTCCACACACATAATATATGCCCATACACATACATGCATACACACATGTGGTCCTTTGTGTGTACTTCGTAAAAAGCAGTGTTTCCATTAAAAAAAAAAAAGAGTACTTCACATGTGGCACAAATAAAATTCAAATTGCAGAAGCAAGTCTCTGCCACTCTAGGTCTCCCATTCCTCCTCCTAGAATCAGTTACTCTGTGTGTGTGTGTGTCTGTGTGTGTGTACACACAGGCATGTCCTTCCAAAAACCCTCTATGCATCACAAGCATATGAGTATGTGGGGAAGGAGCGGCCTAACATGCTGGCCTTTGAATTACATCATTCGTATCTGTTTTCTTTGCCTTTAAGTAGGCCATGAAACTTACTTTTTTTTTAATTATAAATGCATCAGTAGATAATTTTTGAAACATGTAGGACATCAATACCTTACACATCTTTTAATTAGTAATGTACATCATTTTAAGTGAGGGTTGCATTCCTAAGAATGTATATGTAAAGCAAGATGTAAAATCAAAACACATTCAGCTGTACTGGGGCCTTGGCTATTTAAAAGGCTCCCATGGTTTGAAGAAGATCCCTTTATAAAACAAACACCAGCCCCCTAAAACTTCTATTCTGTGTAATTTAGATTCCAAAGGCAATTTTTGAACTTTATTCAAAGTGAGAAATGCTCACAGATGTCTTCATTGTAATAGAATGTGACCCACTTTAGAAGCTGAAAATAGACTTCAAAGGACAGAATTCTAAAAGAAACACTTCCTCTCTTGGAGACCTAAGTAATTCAGAGACCCCACTGAGGACCACTGCCTGGGCCTCCTGGTCTGCTCAAAGCGGTGATTTTACCTTTAAGAGTCCCAGGGCAGGATGAGATATGTTTGGAAATCTTAATTCAAGGGGTTCCTGTTGAAAAACAAAACAAAACAAAACAAAACGGGGGGGGGGGGGGGGAGACTTTAAGTCACAACATGGAATCAAATTACATTGACCTCTACTGAAATTTCTTTTGAGCAGAAACATCTTCCTAACACCACCTCCACCCCCCCCTCCATCCACCCCCACCCCCCCCACCCCCCGCCCAGCTCTCCCTCTGTGCACTCCCCATGCCTGTTTCACAAGCTCCACCGCCCACCTGACAATTAGCTTTTCCAATACAGGTAGCAAATTCTAATACTAATAATAATAAAAAAAAACAAAAACACTGCTGCGAAATGGTTATTTCAGCTTTTTTCTGGCTCAGGTTAAATAACTTGTCTTTCCTAGAATAATTCCTGGCATTTATACTGACATTAGAAAAAGGAGGCCCTAATTACTGCATCTGACGTTTATATAGAGTTTCAACATAGCTTTCCCCGCACCCAGGTGAACAGATGCCCCTTGGTTTTCTGGAATAAGCTTCTGCGTCCTCCCACAAGAGCCTGACTTTGTCCTCACCAGCCTCCTGTTGCCAGAGGCCCTGAAGCCTCAAGTCCAACCTCGGCCCACGGAGGGCTGGCTGGCTGCAGGCACAGTCACGTGCTGCAGAGGGTCAGGACCAAGGCCGGGCGAAGCGGAGCCTGGCAGCGGGCACACAGGCCAGCGACACGGATGCACTTGGCCCTCTGCCACAGGCCATGTGAGGGGCGAGCCGGGATAGCAAGCGAAACCAGCGACCACAGAGCACTGTGCACGCACAGCTGGTGGGGGAGGGTGTGACTGACAGGCTCTTCCCTGGGCACACAGTGGCAGTGCTGTGGTCACGTGGACGGCTACCAGCCTCCGGCCGAGTACACTCTTGTCACTGGTAAGCGTAGGACAGAAGACTGCCAGTTTTTGGAGTTCCTTACGTGCAACAGGAGGAAAAACAATTCCTAAAGCACATCTACATTGGCCTCCGCCCAGCGCCAGCCCCTGCCCCCCTTCCTGTGCGCATGCCCAATCTGAGCCCCGCTGGGCTCTGCCGCTTCAGCAACTGTGGCGGTGACACCGCAGGACCCCTCGTGCCTGCTGAGCTGGATTCTCAGCCCCAGGAGTCAGGGCCTCCCGGTCAGGGTTACCGACTGCACAGAGGGCCCGGCCAGATGTCCACCAGCACAGCCCCCGCAGCGCTCCTTCCTGTGTTTCTGTCAACAGGAAATCTGCTGCAGGACAACCTCTGGGACACCATGGGAAGCTTCCTACGTTCATGAATTCGGGGTTGTTTCTGAGGCATCGCGGTGGACAATCGAACCGGAAATCACTAAAGGATATTTAGTGCAGAACTGGGAATGTCCAGGTCAGGGGGGAGCCAGATGGGTCGCCTCCCACATGCCAGGTGTCATTCCTGTGTCTCTGTCCCTAATGCTGGCGCTGCAGGAGGGGACGAGGCGGGGAAGTGGAAGCAGTCACTGTGGGACAAACCAAGGGGCTGAAGGCACAGACAGGATGCAAGGACCAGGGCACATGGCACTGGTTCCTTTCAATTTCAAAGTACCTCCTTCGGGAGAAAACCTGGATTTCACAAGCCTTACTTTTACTCTGAGATGTCTTAAATGCAATGGTAATTTGTTTTGATTGAAAGAAAGAGAAACAGACTCTCACTAGTTCACCCCCTAGTTGCCCACAGCAGCCAGGACTGAGCCAGGCTGAAGCCAGGAGCCAGGGACTCTGTCCAGATCTCCCATAGGGGTGGTGGTAGAGACGCAAGTACTTGAGTTACCACCTGCTGTCTCCCAGCATGTCCGTGAGCAGGAAGCTAGAACCTGGGGCAGGGCTTGAGCTTACAGCCAGGTACTCTGGTACAGGATGCAGATATCCCAACTGGCAAGGCCAGGCACCCACCCCAGAAATGCTTTCTATTTTGATACGGCATCGTTAGGAGACATTCAAACATTTTTTACAAACATGAAGAATGAAAAACAATCACTCCACAATCCTATGAGGAGATACCTACCTGCTGTAAACAGTTGGAATCCTTGCAGTACCTTTTTTTGTACAAATATAAAAAGCTTTGCATGATATACCATCACATTATTTTGTATTTTTATATTTAAATATAGAAATTCATGTATTAAATATTTATTGCAATTACATCAAATTATACATATTGTTCTAGAACCATTTTTTTTTCATTTCATTCGTTGTAAACTTCTTTCTGGAAAATGAATGAATATAAAACTAGTCACTTTGGCTATGTGATATTTCTATTGTAATGATGTCACATAATAGACTTAATCCCCTCCTAAGGGAATGCACTAAAGGAAATGGCTTCTATTAAATACTGCCATAGCTCTGTGCCTTTGTCTAATGGTTTCATTGGGATAAACTGTTCACAGTGGGTTAAGGGTGTGAACATTTAACGTCTTCCAGGTTTAAAAATGAGTCTTTCCCCCGCTTCGGCCAAGGCGGTGGTGCCAGAGTGCGGCTGTCCTCTAAGCTCATTGCCGTTTCTTTCTCGTGGTCTGGGGGATGTGAGGACGGTAGAGTAGGGGTCTGGAAGATACTGGGAAAGGAGTAGTTAACTTTTCCTGGGTGGACCAGGTTGCCCGGCTCTGAGCTACTTGGGTCAAGTGCTGAAAACTATAAAGAACAGGTATGGCTGGGGCTGGACAGTTCAGCATCCCTGCTGGGCAGGCTGGCGCGCCTCGGTCATCAGCAACCTCTAAGCCAGCAGTGAAGGCCAAGGTCTTATTGGCCAATGTGCTCCCCTTTTCTGTGAACTCAGCTGGCTCCTCCAGGGCAGGGTAAGCCACACGGGTCACTCACCAGCGCTTCAGGGTTGGGAATTTGCACCCCACTGAAGTACTGATTGGTGCTGAAGACTTGCTGGTGCCTGGGAATGAGATCCCCTTCGGGTAAGAGAAAAGAAGAGAGTACGTGAGATGGGTTAGCAAACACAGACCTCTGTGTTCCCTCCACCGCAGCTGGGGCTATCTAAACCCAAACCTATGGCAGCTGTCTTCGTCTCTTGCTGTGTCTCTCTGCCTTTCAAATAAATAAATAATTTCTTTTAAATTGCATAAGTCCAACAAGTGCCAATCAAAATCGTATGAACTGCATCTCTATGGGTCATGGTAACTGTGTATTGGCCTAGCAGTGAGAACAGCACCTGACCCAAAAAAAAAAACACTCCATCAACAGGGGAGGGAGGAGGGGAGGGGACACAGCAGGGAGGAGGTTCTAGCTGGGAGGAACTTAGTGACCAATTAGAAGTTCCATTTCCTCTGCTGCCAAGGTGCACTTAGGTGACGCAATGGCAGGAGCCTGTCTGGGGCCAGTGTCCTGGCACAGCGAGCTAAGCTTCAGCCTGCAGTGCTGGCATATCAGTTTAAGTCCTGGCCGCTCTGCTTCCCACCAGCTCCCTGCTACTGCGCCTGGGAGAGCAGCAGCAGATGGCCCGAGCGATTGGGCTCCTGCACCCACGTGGGAGGCCTGAATGGAGTTCCAGGCTCCTGGCTTCCGCCTGGAGCAGCTCCAACTGTTGGAGCCATTTGGGGGCTGAACCAGCTGATGGAAGATCCTTCTCTTACTGTCTCTCCCTCTCTCTATCACTCCGCCTTCCAAATAACAAATAAATCCATAAATAAATCTTTAGCAGTATAAAGAACAGGAGGCTTTCCATTCTCCAGGGGGCTGTGCGGAGCTCATCCCAGGCCCACTGCAGTCAAGTGGGCTCAGGCTGCCCTCCCGGGAGATTCTAGGACTCTGACGCCTGGAGAGTTTCGTTCAGAGAAGGTAAGGACCTATCCAGTGGGGCTCCCCTGGGGCACACCCCGGCCCCTCCTAGAGCAATGTGGAAAGTGGAGGCCCCAGCCAGGGGCCTGCACGTCTTGCCACGGGACTGGGCTGGAGTTCCTACCCAAGGTATCAAACTCTGCTTTTTTTGTTTTGTTTTAGAACTTTACACCTCACTCAAATCCAAAAACTGCTGCCTCATCCCCTTTGGGACAAGCGACCAAAACCAGAGGGGGCTTCAGCACCTTGTGGGAAGTGAACTGAAACTCGGGTTTACTTTCAGGAAAAAATGTTTTGAAATCTCCGCATATGGGAGACTTCAAAAAGGCCATGGAAAAAAGCTACACATGGATTTCATGTGTATGTTTTTTTTTGCACCAAAATAATTTTATGTTTTTTTCCCCTAAGATTGATTTATTTATTTGAAATTCAGAGTTACAGAGAGACAGAGTGAGAGCTTCCATCTGCTGGTTCACTACCCAGGTGGCCACAACAGCCAGGGCTGGGCATATCCAAAGCCAGGAGCTGGGAGCTTCATCCAGGTCTCCCACGTGGGTAGCAGGGGCCCACATACTTGGGCCATCTTCCACTGCCCTTCGCAGGCCATTACCAGAGAGCTGGATAGGAAGCCGGGACTTGAACCAGCGCCTGTATGGGATGCTGCGGCATCATAGGTGGCAGTTTACCCACTATGCCCAGTGCCAGCCCCAATTTGTCTTTAATTCTCTTGTTGCATTAACTTTCCGAAATCCCTCACGTATACCCTCAAATGCCTTAACCCTGGACCTCAGTGAGCTTCATCATGAACATGGTTCTCTGTACCTTAAAACCTTCCTGGAGTGCCAGTTTGATTCCCAGCTGCTCCAGTTCCAATCCATCTCCTGACCAATGTGCTTGGGAAGGCAGTGGAGGATGGCCCAAGCCCCTGGGAGACCTGGATGAAGCACCTGGCTCCTGGCTTTATCCTGGCCCAGCCCTGGCTATTGCCGCCATCTGGAGAGTGAACCAGTGGATAGGAGATCTCTCTCTCTCTCTTTCTCTCTCTCTCTTTCTCTCTCTTTCTCTCTGTCAATGTCATTCAAATAAATAAATAAACTTTGAAAAACAAAAATATCCTCTTCCATCAGGGCTGGCGGGTACCCTAAAGCCACTGGAGCACATGCAGCCGAGAAAGGCACCGTGCCCCGGCAGGGGCTGCGAGGGGCCCGGCCCGGCATGCAACAGAATCACGCCGTCAGCAGGTGTTTACCGCCTGCTGTGTGTGGATGCTGGCACTGGATAAGCAACAAGAAAGACACGATCTCATTGTCAGCTTTCTGTTTCTTAGGGGAGACGAGAGGACAAGGTAAGGCATGGCGAGGGAGATAAGACAGGAGCTTGCATAGAGAAGGGAAAGGGTGCTTGCAGCAAGGAGATGGGCTCGCGGCCTTGCTGGTGGCAGCCGCTGCCCGGGGGTCTTGCCATCCGTCCCTTGCCTGCCTTCCCCTCCCCTCCCCAGCCCAGTCCCCAACTCCAAGGGCAGAGAGAAAGGAAAGGGCAATGCGGTGGGTGAGCAAGACAAGACGAGAGACTTCAGATGAACCAGCCTTTCTCTTGACGTCTTCCTCCGTGGAGTCTGAATAACCCTAACTGCTCAGGAAGCCTGGGGTGGGGGCCATCCAAGCCGATTACGATCTCATAATAATTACGCAATGAAATAAACCACGATTGTTGTGATCATCAAAGTTCTTTAAAATTAACTTTTGTTTACCTGAAAGGCAGAGTGACAAGGACACACACACACACACACACACACACAGAACTTCAATCCGCTGGTTCATTCCCCAGAAGTCTACAACAGCCCAGGACAGGCTGAAGCCAGGAGCCTACAATTCCATCAGTCTGCTGTGTGGGTGGCAGAGATCTAAGCTCCTGAGCCATCTCCTGCTGCTTCCCAGAGTCTGCAATAGTAGGAAGCTTGGATCTGGGAAGCCGGCGCTCCACTGTGCCAAACGCCTGCCCGTGACCCTCATTTAGAGTTGAAATTGATCTAAACCATGAGTTGGAGAGAATCTTGTGTCTTTGGGAAGGTTAGTGAGCAGTCAAAAAGTGCTAATTATCTTTGTAAACTTTTTTTAAAAATTATTTCTTTATTTGAGACAGACAGATGGAAAGAGAGTAAGCTCCTGTCTGCTGGTTCATGCCCCTAGATGTCTGCAATGGCTGGGGCTGAGCCGGGCTGGGGCCAGGGACTGAGAACGCAATCCAGGTCTCCCACCGGGGTGACAGGAGCCCAGCTGCTTCAGTCATCACCTTTTGCCTGCCGGGATGCACATGATTAGGAAGCTAGAATCACGAGCTGGAGCCAAGGTAGAACTGGGGTACTTTGACATGGTAAGCAGGTTTCTTACCCAGCATCTTAACTGCTAGGCTAAACACTTGTCCCAGTTCATTAAAAAAAATTTAATACTTATTTAGTATTTGAAAGGGGGGCCTTGGGGCCCTTGCTGTGGCGCAGCAAGTTGACGCCCTGGCCTGGAGCGCCGGCATCCCATATAGGCGCTGGTTCTAGTCCCGGCTACTCCTCTTCAGATCCAGCTCTCTGCTATGGCCTGGGAAAGCAGTAGAAGTGGCCCAAGTCCTTGGGCCCCTGCACCTGCATGGGAGACCTGGAAGAAGCTCCTGGCTCCTGGCTTTGGATCGGTGCAGCTCCGGCCATTATGGCCATCTGGGGAATGAACCATTGGATGGAAGACCTGTCTCTCTCTCTCTCTCTCTCTCTCTCTCTCTCTCTCTCTCTCTATGCCTCTCCTCTTTCTGTGTAACTCTTTCAAATAAATAAATAAATCTTGAGCCGGCGCCGTGGCTCAATAGGCTAATCCTCCACCTTGCGGCGCCGGCACACCGGGTTCTAGTCCCGGTCGGGGCGCCGGATTCTGTCCCGGTTGCCCCTCTTCCAGGCCAGCTCTCTGCTATGGCCAGGGAGTGCAGTGGAGGATGGCCCAGGTGCTTGGGCCCTGCACCCCATGGGAGACCAGGAAAAAGCACCTGGATCCTGGCTCCTGCCATCGGATCAGCGCGGTGCGCCGGCTGCAGCGGCGGCCATTGGAGGGTGAACCAACGGCAAGGGAAGACCTTTCTCTCTGTGTCTCTCTCTCTCACTGTCCACTCTGCCTATCAAAAAATTAAAAAAAAATAAATAAATAAATAAATAAATCTTAAAAAAAAGAAAAGAAAAGAAAAGAAAAGAAAAGAAAAGAGGCCTGCACTGTGGCACAGTGGGTTAAGCCCCCTGCTGCAGTACCAGCATCCTATTATGGGCACTGGTTCATGTCCTGGCTGCTCCACTTCCAATCCAGCTCCCTGCTAATGCGCCTGGGAAAACAGCAGTGGATGGCAAGTGCTTGGGCCCCTGCACCCACATGGGAGACCCAGATGAAGCTCCTGGCTCCTGGCTTCAGCCTGGCCCAGGCCCAGCCTATTGCAGCCATTTGGGGAGTGAAGCAGAGGGTGAAGATTCATTCTCTCTCTCTCTCTCTCTCTCTCTTTCTCCCCCTCTCTCTCCCTCTCTGCCTTTCAAACAAATAAAAAATAAATTAAAAAAAAAAAGAAAGAAAGAAAAGGCAGAGTGACAGACACAGTTTTCATTTGCTGGTTTATTCCCCAAAGGAGCTGCACAAAGCAGGCCAGGCCAGGCTGATGCCTGGAGCCAGGTACTGCATCTTGGGTTCCCATAAGGGTGGCAGGGACTCAAGTACTTGGACCATTATCTGCTGCTTCCCAGGAGCAGCAGCAGGGCGCTGGATCACAAGCGGAGTAGCCAGAACTTGAACTGATGCTCAAATGAGATGTGCAGGTCCCAAGCAGTGGCTTAACCCTGTGCCACAACATCCGCCCCCAGTTCATTTTATTAAAACAAATGTGAACACCCGTAATGGGGTCGGGTAAGTGGGACACTGAAGCTTTCCTTCCCTGACTAACGTGCATTAGAAGAGACTAAGAACAAGGCTCTGTCCTGCACCCACATGGCTAAAATGATCCCAAGATATTCCCAAAAGACAGAGCAAAAACACCACTTACCCAGGGTTTTCCTAATCAGGTAGAGCTGATCCACATCTGATTTTCCAGGCCACAGAGGCACCCCTGACATCAGTTCCGCAAACACACAGCCAATCGCCCAAACATCGACTGGGGGCCCATACTGCGTGTCTCCCACCAGCAGCTCGGGGGAGCGGTACCACCTGGTAGCCACATAGTCTGTGTAGTAGTCACTGGGGCCGGCTGACCAGGGACGGGACATGGAACACAGAAAGCACGGTTGGGAGCCTGGAATCAAACCTGGGAAGGGGAAGATCTAAGACCTAAGACCTAAGAGTGGAAAACCACTCTTAAAGTAGCATTTCTGAAAAGTATTTTTAGCAAAAAATATAAAATCTGCATAATCTACACATCACATACATATTTAAGCCACTATATGCATCTACATACATCTACATGTAGCTACAGAATGATTATTTATGGCAAGCTGATGTCCTAAATATACAAAAAAGCTAGTTTTCTAAAGCATTTAGCATATCGAGAACTTTACCCATCTCTTCCATTTAGAGAAAAGATCAATACTTACTCAATAAGCGAGCAAATCCAAAGTCACAAAGCTTAATCACGGAATGTTTTGTGATGAGGATATTTTCTGGTTTCACATCTCTATGTATGCACTAGTTACAAAAATCAAACAAAACAGACTTTTAAGGAACAAATGGGATGAATGGAACACATAAACATTTAGCAAATATTGGAGAAATCATTTGAATCTCTCACAGTCACTGGCCTGTTGAAAAATAGCAAAATGGCAGCATAAAATGTAATACTCATAGCCTGAGTCACCCCAAATTCCTACAGGGTCCAGACTGAGAAGGGGTCAAACAAAACATAAAAAGGAGGGTAGCCGGACTTTGCAGATAAAAACACGGGATGCCAAGTTCAATTTAAATCCTACATAAGCGTCAATTTCTAAGTATAGCCACATCCCATGCGGTACTTGGGACTCACTTATCCTAAACAGTGACACTTGTTTATCTGGAATCCTGTGTTCCCTCTGACAACTGCAGGTGACAGGGGAATTGTGAGAAGGTTCTGGTCACAGGAGCTGCAGGGGGGTGCCAAAGCAGAATTCACACTGCAGAACGCGTGTCAGCCTAGTAAACAGGACAAGCCCTGGGCCTGCTGAGATAAGCTGGGGAAGACAAGGGTGGGACCTGGAGCCCGCCCAGTGATCTCCCCTCCAGCCCTGACATTCGCCCCGACAAGATAAACAAGAGCGGGAAGCAGCCAGCCGTCCGTCCTCGTCACCGCTGGGGACAGTCGCTAGATGTCAGCTCTGTCCCACACTCCTCCAGAGCTCCGCCTGCTGCACCGGCCCCAGGGGACGTGGCTCAATCACCTGTGGTTTCCAGACCACAGCCCACATTCTTTGCCAGGGTGGGTGTCAGAGAGAAGAAAGTTCTAGAATCTTCAGTTGGTTTTCTTACTGAATGACAATTCCCTTGGCAAAGAACAGCATCAACAACCTAATTAACAACCACATTACAACAGCAGCAGCAACAAAGACAGTTGGGTCTGAACAGCACTCAGGGTTCCTACAAATATTCCCTTCTCGAAGGAGTTTTCCTGCCTGGAGGGGCTGCTGGTCACTTTGGCCATCTGAAAGACCCTCCCTGGCCTGCAGCCTGAAGTCCTGTGGTTACTCTTGACTTTCCAGAATCTGGAGAGGAGACACGGCTTCCTCATGGAGGGGGGAGGGGCAGTTTCCCTTCCAAAGGACCTTTGTGCTGGTGCAGGGGGGAGGTGGCGATCAGGGTCAGTGTGTCCCCATGGGTATTTGTTATTCTGGAAAATTCGGGGGGAAAAGGCAGTATTTGAATTGTCTTATGATAATCTCTCTGGCTGTCAACAACCCAGGGCTCAGATCACTACTGTTTTGCCGCCAGCCTGACATACTGCTATAAATGGGAATGCCGACGAGTCCCATGATGACATGCGGTCAGAAGTACTAGTAGGCAGGAATGTGCTCCATGTCTGCTCTGGGAATTCTTTGCAGGCTTCTGTCCCCTCCCCCATCTGCACATGGACACCAACGGAGCTCCCCGGGCCTGTATTGGATGTGTCTTTACTGGCTCAGACCTTGCCTCCCTGCCCCCGCCCTGCTGGATCCCGTGAGCTGACCCTCAGGGATAGTTACTAGTGATATAGGGGGTGCTCTCCCCGCTGGACAAGGAAGATGGCCGTCAGCGAAGGGGAGGCTGGCTACTACTCTCTTACTCTCTCCTTCTGGGGACGCAGCCTCAGGGAAAGCCACTGGGCAGCCTGCAAGCCAGGGGGTGCAACCCTCCGAGCCCAGTGGTCCCTGGTGGCTGGTGGGACCACGCAAAGCCGGGGGACTGTGCTCGCTCGCCGCCCCAGTGAGGCTCGGACGCCGGCAGCTGGGTTCTCCGTGCAGAGAGCGAGCAGCAGGTAGCTACTGAGGAACTAGAAAGTCACAGCACCTGTGCCTCCCAGGAGTTCCAGGTTTGCATGGGCTGCCCCGTCCTGTCTCACCAAAGCAGACAGGACCTCCTGTGCAGCAGGCTTGGGACTCCACCCACTGCACAGGGTCCCTCCTCAATCCCAGAGCCCTTGGGGGAGGGTGTGAAAGAATTCAGATTCCAAGTGCACGGGCTTCTCTCTGACACCTGAGTCATTTCTAACCAGTAAGCACATAGGACTGGGTGCTTAAAATCCCAACAATGCCTGTTTCACACGACCAGAGCAGGGAGGAAGTGCTGGGCGGGTATTTTTAACCTCCACTTACCCACCACCAAGTTCATGGAGAATTTGTACCCACATGAGTATGATATCAACTCTGGACAAGGCTCTAGCTGGGCTCTGCGCTCAGCCTGCCAAGTCTCCACAGGAGATGGCGGGACTTACGTTGTGGGTGTGGCAGAAGTTCACGGCCTGCAGTGTCTGCCAAGTTATGCTCTTCACGAGATGTTCTGGTACCCTGGTGAAAACAAGAAGCGCGCAGACGCATTCCTCAGAGCAGCAATGGAATTCGTCTCGAGGGGAGAAAAAGTAAAGCGAGACAGGCTTCAGCAGTGGACAGCCCTGGGCGGCACGTAGCCACTCCAGCCCCCAGGCCACCCTCCCACCAGCACAGAGTGTCAGGGACACGGGACCCCCACACCGCCGTCTGCTCAGGACAGCAGGCCCACAGGAATGCAAGCAGCCATGACAACACTTCAGAAAGCTGGTGGACGATGCAACTAAGACCTAGGTTTATTTGGTGCAAAAAATTCCCCTCAAAACCTGGTCTTCAAACATTTCAAGGAAAATGCATACTATGAGACAACTATGAGTAGCTTTCAAAAATTTTTTGCACCAAAATTAAACTTATAATTTGTTTTTTGCTACGCACACAAAAATTTTTTTGAAAGATTTATTTATTTTATTTGAAAGTCACAGTTACAGGGAGAGAGACAAGGAGACAGAGAGGGAGATCTCCCATCCACTGGTTCACTCCCCAGATGGCTGCACAACCAGGGCTGGGCCAGGCCAAAGCCAGGAGTCACAAGGTCTCCTGTATGGGTGCAGGGGTCCAAGCACTTGGGTCATCTTCTGTTGCTTTCCTGGGTGCTTTAGCAGGGAGCTGGCTTGGAAGTAGAGCAGCTGGGTCTCGAACCAGCACCCATATGGGATGCCGGCATCACAGGCGGTGGCTTTAGCCACTATGCCATAGTGCCGGCCCCATTTCCACAAAATTTTTGAAGAGCCTTCATATTTCTACAGGAAAGGACCCCGGCCATGAAAACCTACAGGGATTTCAGCGAGTATTTATGACTCCTTATCTCACATATTCCTCATTCCACCGGGAAGCGGCATGGTCCTGGAGCTAACTCCACTGATGTCAAGTTAGTTAGCAGCCAGCATCAAAGATGCTGTTTATTAGTTCAAGTTGCTGCAGACAATGGCCTGAAGCAAGATTCATCTTCCATGTGCAGGCCCACAGTTTCTCAAGACTCCCTTGACTGCACGGGTTCTGGGCGGGCAGGCATTGTGGTCAGTGCGGTAAGCTGCTGCTTGGGATGCCCGCATCCTGTTTCAGAGAGAGCTGGTTTAAGTCCTAGCTACCAAGTTCTTCCCATGCAGTTTCCTGCCACTGTGCCTGGGAAGCACTTGGGCTCCTGCCACCCACGTGGAAGATGCAGAAGGAGTGAGTTCCTGGCTACTGACTTTGGCCTGGCCCAGCTCCAGCCACTGTGGCCATTTGGGGAATAAACATGGGTGGAAGATTGATCTTTTCTCTCTCTTCCAAAAGACAGAAAGACAGTATGAGAGTAATGGAGGGAGGGAGGGAAGGAGGGGGAAAGGGAGAGAAAGAGAGAAAGAGAGAGAGAGAATCTTCCATCTGTTGGTTCACTCCCCAAATGCCTGCCACAGCCAGGGCTGGGCCAGGATGAAGTCAGGAGCCAGGAGCTTCATCAAGTTCTCCCATGTGAGTGGACGGGCCCAAGCATTTGGGCCATCTTCTGCTACTTTCCCAGGTGCATTATCAGGGAACTGGATCAGAAGTGGAGCAGCCAGGACTTGAACCAGTGCTCAAATGGGATGCCGGCATCACAGGGAGCGGCTTAACCTGCAGCTGCACAACGTCCGCCCCTGGAAATTTTTTTTTTTTTTAAGATAATGAGATTTCATTGATGACACAGAGGAGGTTCCCACTGCACACCATATAGCAGAAGTCCATAATGATTAACTGCTCAGTGAGGCCGTGCGGTCCTCGGCCCGCCCTGCTGCTCTCTGGCAGGCAGCTGCATCCGTGCACCTCGTCCTGCCTCTCCCGTCCCCACAGCAACTACACGCCAGGCCTCTGATGCCCGCCTTCTACCCAGACTCCATGCTTAAAGAACCAGGGCAACCGGAAGCACCAGCTGCCCCTTGTGCACATCAGAAAAAGGTACCTCACTGGGGAACATTTTGCAGAAAAGACAAGGGAAGTTTGCAAAGCTCGTGGAAAATGAAATTAGGGGAAAAGTTAATTTTGGTGCAAGGAAAAAAAAATTGAGAGCTATGAATCTGAGGGATCTCAAAAAAGCTTGTGATAAACGCGCATTACAAAAGAACCAGGCATGCATTGCAAAATTTTTTGCACGAGAACAACCTTATCTTTGACTCGCATTTTCCGTGAGCTCTCTGAAGTTCCCTTGTGCACAGCAGTGAGTAAAATGGACTATAAAGGGAGACCCCCACCCACCGGGTGGGCTCACTGCTTTCATGAATCAGATATTAAACAGAGCCGCTGTGCTCCTGAGCCAAGGCCGGTAAGTAAGCCGGGGAGGAAATTCTTCAGTAGTTGTGTTAAAGGTGACTGCAGAATCTCACTTCCAGCCCCCGGGACAGGCTACAAGGCCACGCTTGTCACAGACCAGCCGTCCAGGAAATCCTTTCAGGAGATCAGAGGACGCCTGAACAGAGGGTGGAACAACAGGGCGGAAATGAAGAAGCCGCCTCCAGGAAGAAGAGCTGGGACACTGCTCAGTCAGGGCTGTGGCCCTGGGCTCGCAGCAGTTTCTTGCCAAATTCTCTCCCTTGTTGTGGCAGCACATACGCTGCAAAAGCCTCACCTGTGCGGACAGAAAGGCCTAGAAATCACACAGCCAGGAGAGGCGACCTCAGGGGCAGGCTATCCCCAGCCTCCATTCTTGGGCCCAGAAGGAAAAAAAAACAACAACAACAACAACAACAAAAAACAGAATATATATTGGTTATTCAATGAATGAAGTGCAGTATAGATAATAGATACAAGGCCATTGGTGCAGGCAACTCGAGTCTCTGAAAACATCTGCCGGCATGATGATGCCATAGGGGTATCTGAGAGCGAAGGGTGACAGCTGGCGCTGGTGCTCCTCCCTGTGCCTGCAAACTGCCCCAGGGCGCCACAGGCGGGCGGGCTGCTCTCACCGCTTCTTTCTCACTGTTTTCCCTCTGGAATGTGGGGACCTCAGAGTCCAAGATTGCTTTCAGCTGCAACACTGAGATGATAATAGGAGGCAGGCTTTCTCTGTGGGAGAAGGGAGTTACAAATATAGAACGGCAGAAAAACAAAATACATTCTGCGGTGTTTGGTGTTGGGTTGGATTTCAGAGATATTCCAACACACACACACACACACACACACTCAAATAAGTTCTTGGAAAATGGGACTAAACGATAAGTTTGTTTTGATGAAAAAACAATTTGGAAATATATGCACATGAGGGATCTTCAAAAAGTTTGCAAAAATGTGTATTAAGAAAAAGCAATGCATAGATTTCAATATTTTTGCACCCAAATAAACCTGTAATTTAACTTCATTTTCCACAAATTTCTTCATGTCCATCTCCTCCTTCAATCTGCCCTGCCACACACACACACACAGACACACAGACACACAGACACACACACACACACTGTGAGGGGGCTCACATAGGTGGTTCAGAAAACCTCTCTGGGGCAGGCACTGTGGCCTAGCAGGTAAAGCCGCCTGCAATGCCAGCATCCCATGCGCTGGTTCAAGTCCCAGCTGCTCCACTTCTGATCCAGCTCTCTGCTACAGCCTGGGAAAGCAGTGGAAGATGGCCCAAGTATTTGGGCCCCTGCACCCGCGTGGGAGACCTGGAAAAAGTTCCTGGCTCCTGCCTTCGGATTGGCCTGGCTCTGGCCATTGTGGTCATTTGGAGAGTTAAACAGCAGGTGGAAGACCTCCCTCTTTCTCTCTCTGCCTCTGCTTCTCTGTAACTCTGCCTTTCAAATAAATAAATACATCTTTTTAAAGAAAGAGGGGCTAGCACTGTGGCGTAGCGGGTTAAAGCCCTGGCCTGAAGTGCCGGTATCCCATATGGGTGCCGGTTCTAGTCCTGGCAGCTCCTCTTCCAATCCAGCTGTCTGCTATGGCCTGGGATAGCAGTAGAATATGGCCCAAGCCCTTGGGCCCCTGCACACACATGGGAGACCCAGGAGAAGCTCCTGGCTCCTGGCTTCGGATAGGCGCAGCTACAGCCATTGTGGCCATATGGGGAGTGAACCAGTGGATGGAAGACCTCTCTCTCTGTCTCTACCTCTCTCTGTAACTGTCTTTCAAAATAAATAAAATAAATATTTTAAAAAAGAAAGCCTCTCTGGATAAGGGAACATCTGGAGCAGTGGTTAAGGTGCTAAGAGGTGGCTGGATTTGGCCTTTATGATTTTCTGAGGGATTGGATGTGAAAGACAGGAATAAAGAAATGATGCCAAGGTATTTAGCTTGAGTAACGGTGACAAGACGTGCCCTCCGCCGGGAGAACACAGGCGAGGGGTGGATGGAGTATTTGCGGTGCTAAGTGGCTATCCAAGCAGGGTTCTGCGCAGCCTGCTGTGGATCCAGAGGGAAGGTCAACCGGAAATACAGGTTTGAAAAGCACAAGCATGCACACAGGATTCAGAGCCTGGGGCTGCCTGAAGCCCAGGAGGAGGCGACGCAAGTGACCAAGGGGGAGCCGTGGAAGGTGGTTCTGGGGCTCCGGCCAGGGAGTGAGCTAAGAGTTCGCGAGGGAGAAGCCAGTGTCCCCCGAGGCCGAGCGCACGCCGCGGTCCACGGGGCTGCCAGACTCACACGTTCGAAAGACCAAAACCCACTGGGTCTGAGAGAACAGTCGAGGTCACCGCAGTGCGCTGTAGAGTAGGGGAAGTAGCTGAATGAATGGCAGCTGGCTTCAGAGATCCGAGAGCGCGGAAACCGAAGCCAGGGGAGGGAAAGGGGGAGCAGCAGCCGAGTCACCCCCAGAGACTCCTCCAAACGCTCCAGGACTAGCAGCCGGGATCTCTAAGGGGCAGAGCTGGGAGCGAAGAGGAGCATGGGAAGTCTGCTTAGGAAAAGATCCCAGGAAAGCAGCAACAGATCGCCTGTTCTGTGCCCCCAGGGAGCGCTATTTCTCCTGCCTGGTGCAAGGCTGCAGTTCTGTTCCCTGGAGAGGGTAAAATCAGGGC